CAAAAAGTTCATCCAACATGCTTTATAAGTTTCATCACACTGTTCAAGATTGTCCCATGCATTGTCTGCTACATGTTGCCAAGGTTTATATTTTAGCAGTTGATATTTACAGAACAGTCCATACTGCTGATTTTGAGGATTTGAAGAAAATTTGGGATAAGTTTTAACTATTACAGCTTGCTTCCTTTTCTCCAGTTTTGAGTTTTTGCTTACAAATGTGGAGGTAAATTGCAAAAAATTATATGTCAGTATGTCTGGAAATGTCTTAATAAACTTCTCTCGTTCAGCATAAATATCCAACATGGATGGGATTGTACAAAAATCCTTATTTTTGGACACCTGTACTCTTCGTGAACCATCAAGAGATGTATTTATTACTTCATGTGTTGCACTTACACATTTGACTGAGAGTAAATGATGCATAACTTCTTGGATTAGATAATCTCGTTGGATTGAATAATTTGCTTCAAAATGTTATGAATGTCACTTTCGTCCGACACTAATTACATTTGATGCATAATTGTGCAAGATATTCAAACATGCCACATAATCTATTAATTTGAATATCACTTTCCTTAGACAATACTTAGTACTGCACATTGTATGTCTCTCAACAGAGTTTAATAAATTCACATAGTCTTCCTCTTTTTGTTTGCCATTCAAAGACAGATACTGGGTTTGACATGGATGAGAATCTGGTTTGGACCACCCTTCTTCTGGGGAACATGGATTCCAAGTTGTTAGTATAAAGTCAACATACTGACAAACAACAGACTCTGCTTGTATACCTTGATTTATCTTAGTCTCCAGTTCTAATATTTCTTCTTCTGACAAATTTCCTTTGTTCTCATTGATATGCTTTGATGCTAAAAAACCTTGCAATGCAATTTCTGTCAGTTCGCAAAGTCCTGGATCATTTTTCAATTTTGCAACTCCATGACAATGAATTGAACCTCTCTGAACTGCATACTCGTATCTGTACCAATGCCAAGAAGCCCCTAATGACTCTTTTAACCAAAACTTGACAAAACGATCTGTTCGCTCAGTAAAAAACCAATCCAAGATATGTGGATTTTGAAGAACATTTTGCTGCCTGATTGCTGGTTGAAGTGTTTCAGAGTGAGGGTCACAAAAGAGTTCATGAAATTCAGGCCAATGGTACTCAGCACAAGATAAAGTAAAAAATATAGTAGGCGGTCCTACTTGAGCAATGGTTGCTCGCAAATCCTCTTTAGCTTTGTGCCAATAGCTATTGCTACCAGTAACATTTTTAGCATAATGCATAAGTTTTGACATTAAAGTAGAATACGTATTTGTTTGAAGCATTTGTTGAAGTTGTTCTACAGTTAACTTAGCTTCACCAGGGTTTTGCTTTAAAAAAATATTTCCCTGACTAAGGAGTCTGTGCCTCTGAATCATGTTGAATGCCCAATAAGCAAACCGTGGGTGACTTGCAAACCTATAAGCCCATTTACCATTATTATATTCAGCAAATTTAATCAAATGTTTTATTTTATCTCCAAGGGTCACATCACGCATTGTAGCACTGTTAGTAGGATCTCCTTTACCATCTGGGAACAAAGTAGGAAATGCCATAGTAGCTAAATATTCAATTTTAAACTCATTGAGAGGACTTGAATTCCTATTAGGCCAATTGATTTTACTGTTTTGTAATAACTCATCTTTTATCAGCTGCTTCTGTGGCTTTAGTTGTACAGGGTTAAGAATTGTGCTACTCAATTCTGTGTCTTCATTGAAAGGTATTTCATCAAGAGGACCTCTGTCTGGATCAATTTCATCATCTTTACTGTTCTCAGTACAATAAATTTTACGCAGCTCAGTGGGAATGCCATCAGAAGGCAAGAAAGCCAACAATTCATAATCAATAGTGATATCCTTATATACAGGGTTATGTTGAACTAACCAGTGCAGAGCACAGCTGACCTTTTCACGTCTCACAGTGAGATCTTTATAAGTATTATCTTTGCCTTTGACTGACACAACTATTACTGGCATTTCACTTAGGTTTCTTGGCAATGAATTGGCTAACTCTTGGATATCTTGAGAGAAGTTAATACAATGACCTTTATATGCTTTTTGTCCACCTGGTTTTGTATAAACAGAAATTACTGGGAAAACACGAGCTATTAACATTTCCTCTAATTGCGTTAAACCTTGCAATTCATTTGGGACTTGTGAAGGAATCATTCCATTCTGAGATGAAAATTTTTTCACTCCATTCTTGTCACGTGAACATCTTGAACACATATAAGGAGATCTCTTTTTGCCTTTTGATGATAATGGCCATGCCTCATGGCAAACTTCACACATATAAATTTTGAATTTAAGTGAATTATGAAAGTCTTCCATGTTTTTGATAGCCCACTTCTGTACATGAATTGGTCCAGTGTTTATACTGTCAAATTGAGATAAATATGCTTCTTTGTCAACATTATGCAGTGGTTTATCTACTTTTTGCCATGCTGTAAATTTTCCTACTGGTTTAATTACATCAAATGTATTGTCTTCCTTTTTCTGTCTAGAGTTCCACTTAAATTGCACAGTTTGTTTTATCAATTGTGCTTGCTTTTCCTCCCCTGTCTCATAATCCTTTATTTTCCTTCTGTATGCCCTCATATATTCTTTTTGGTTTTTTTGTCTAGAAAGTTTTTCACTCTCTGTCTCTTTGGCTTTTTTAGCTGTAAATTTTCCTACTGGTTTAATTACATCAAATGTATTGTCTTCCTTTTTCTGTCTAGAGTTCCACTTTTGCACATTTTGTTTTATCAATCGTGCTTGCTTCTCCTCCCCTGTCTCATAATCCTTTATTTTCCTTCTGTATGCCCTCATATATTCTTTTTGCTTTTTTTGTCTAGAAAGTTTTTCACTCTCTGTCTCTTTGGCTTTTTTAGCAATTTTGTAATTCTTCAAATGTGGATTTACTACATTTAAGTTCAGCTTTCTTTTTCTATCTATCAATTTGTCAGTATTTGTTTCTGGTCTTTGTCGTTTTCTGGGTGTGCAAACTTCTTTCCCAAAATCATCACAGGCTTGGCGTTCTTTATCCTCTAATTTTGAATAAGAATGGTCTGGCATTAATGTACAGGAATCAATGCCTTGATGTATATTAATAATGTTATCAACAGAGCTTTCATAAACAGCAAAATACCATCCATTGGCGTAAACATTCAAAATATCTTGAAATGTAGCATATTGCTGAACTGCACTACAGAGATCATCATAATAAAACCAATAACGACCATTGTTTATAGCAATAGTGAAATGGTGGCTTGCACACCGCACAACAGCTTTTAATAAGTAAAATGTACCTAAGAGTTCCATACTTGCTGGTAGAACAGTTTGACCAAAAGAAATTGATGATAATTCAATGTGTAAAAATTTTGGCATGGTAACAAAATGTTGCAAACCTGAAATATCACCAGAATGCCTTTGACATGCATCACAAAAAAGTGGGCTGCTATTAGGCAAAGCAGCTTCTGAAACACAGTTTTCAAATTCAGTGGGCAGAATATTTGGACAAGTAATATACAAGACAATAGTGCTAGTAGTTTTCAATATTTGATTGTTACACAGGGTGCAGCAAGTCTGATTACATTGTTGAATAAGAAATAATGATTTCAAATCACTGGTTAAATCCCCAAATGCTTGCATGGTAAATATGTCACTAAAAACAGCATTTGCAGTCATTGAAGAAAATGATGGGCAACGACCTCTGATCAGTGACCATATAGGCTCTCGCACAACATCAACAGCACCAACAATTGCCCTTTGATTGCACGCCTCAGAGATAACTTGAAAAAAATCATTGCATGTAATGTTTTGAAGATGATTGCGAAAAACAAAATAACATAGCTCAAGAAAGCAATCAACTGCACAAGAAAACTTCCCTACGTTGGTCAAACAATAATTACGAAAGTGATCTCTTACATTTGATCCTTCACACATGTATGTAGAATTACTATCAGTGCTATTACATATTGCATTGCGTTTTTCTTCCAACACTTCTGAATTTATGTTCCCATTCACAATGTGTGCCTCCTTGTTTGAAATAACGAAGGGATTAAAACTACCATTAGAAGGATAAGCTATTCGCCTTGACAAGTATCTCCCCCTAAATCTGAAATAGATCATGCTGCATTTTGGGCACACACTCCCCAATTCTAACAGATTATTGTGGGCAGTACGATTGGGAAAGAGTAGCAACATAAACAATAGCCACATCATTTTCAAACTTTTGTGCGGTTTATTGCTCTAGGTGTACCTTGTATTTTAGTGGGCAAAAAGTCTGTGCTTCAAAAATTCGTGATACGCTTGATATTAATAACAGTCGAAAGAATTGATCGAGCTGACAGTTGATTATTGCAGCTTGCTCGCTCTCCAATGCACTTCCGCCGCGTTAGGTTTCCTTTGAATTTAACTCAAGCTTAAGTTAAGTTGAATCTCAGTTGCTTCGATTGTTTTCAGCTTGTTTGTGGGGTGACAAAGTTGGTTCAGTGGCCAATGACGAGTGCACTCTTTCGTGGCTAGCTCGCCGCTAGTTTGCTACAACTTTAATTGCTTTCTGCTCGCTATTAATGGTGACAAAGTTGCCTCACTGGCCACTAGTTTGCTAAAACTATCGTTTGTTTTGTTTGAATACAGTTTCAAGCGGTTTCTCAGTTTCTTTGATTGCTTTATGCCTGCTGGCGTTGTCTAACTGCTCGCTATTAATGGTGACAAAGTTGCCTCACTGGCCACTAGTTTGCTAAAACTATCGTTTGTTTTGTTTGAATACAGTTTCAAGCGGTTTCTCACTTTCTTTGATTGCTTTATGCCTGCTGGCGTTGTCTAGATTTGGCACCCTTGCCGACTTTGGCACTCTCACGTGTGGCTCGTTCGCCGCCGCTAGTTTGCTACAACTTTGATTGCTTTCTGCTCGCTAATGGTGTCAAAGTTGGCTTACTGGCCGCTAGTTTGCTACGATTATCGTTTGTTTGAGCTTTGTTTTGTTTAATTCGGTGGTTTCTCAGTTTCTTTGATTGCTCTATGCCTGCTGGCGTTGTCTACATTTGGCACGCTTGCCGACTTTGACACACTCGTCAACTTGGCACACTGGCCGACTTTGGCACACTGGCCGGTTACTGAGCTTGCTAACTCGATAATTATACCACAAAGGCACTTAACTTAAGTGCACTCACGCAGAATTGGAAATAAAACTTACAAAGGTAGGTGAAAAATACAATTTTCTTACCTCAAACTTGCTCGCTCCTCCGCTCGATAAATGACAAAGCTGCTAAGCGTCCACGATAAGCACCATGTGGACTTGACGTCACGATCTTTGCGCGCTACCATTGGTCCGTTGCAAAACAAAGCCTATTCACATTACGTCATTGGAATCTCAGGAATCTTACCTTACAGACATCTTACAATCACTCGAGATTTTTTCCGCCTGTACAATACTCTCGCACGGCTCTATAATGCTGCCGCCTCGCCAGCCTCGCGTCTTCGCTCGGCTGGCTCGTTGGCAATGAGGATGTACATACTTTCCAGAGGAGTTTTTGTGTAGTTGTTTCATGAGGCTTTCTCTTTCTTCTGCTTTTGTTCCTCGCCTTCTCTCAGTTCTTCAAATCCTGCAATCCCGTACTCTTCATCTACTCCACTTTGTTTTTCTCTTCGCTTTCCTTCGTCATGTAGCTCTGAAACTGGAAAACACGGTATGTATTAAGCTTAACTTTAACTTAACTTCTGGTTTTAACGCTTGGACCGAAAAATACAACTTGTTAGGCTAAAACTGATTTACTTAAGCTTATTTTAATCGAAAGAATAAAAGAAGGAGCATGACTTTGAACTTGAAGTGTAGTTTTTGAAAAGCAATTTCTAACGTGCAAACATAATAATTTGTTAGTCGCTGTTTAATGTAGAATTTGTACTTGTATGAGTCGCTTGAAACTTGTAAAAACAGCTATAAAGACTAACCTTTTAACCCGCCTGAACTCAGTCGTACTTGGGGAACGAGTTCTCTTGAAAATCTCGTAGTTCTCAACAGGACGGCGACGAGATTTTTGAAGACAGAACGACTTTGTGTGACATGCTTTCGCTATCGTGCATGCGTAGTAGGTGCACGTTGGAAATCTCGTTCTCGTACTCGTAGTAGTAGTCGGATCTGAAGGTCTCTATTCAATCTTGCGTGACACCTTTTGCGCATGCGTATCAGGGCGTTTCCGCTGAGCAGACGTCGTCGTCGTAAAAGTAGTCGTCGATTCGTAAGCTTTCTAATGATACCATTGGATGGTTTTGGTTTGGATTTCCACATCATTATGACACAGGTTTCATGTCCCTTTCGAACGTGCTCTAGTATTGCAGTAGGTTCAAGACTGCTCGGTTCACGAGTTCATTACAGTGAGCTTTTGGCTTGTACCACACACTGAGAGAATGGAGCCAAATAGATAATCCTTTCTACACATATAGAACAGTGGGAATTCAATTTGCACCCAGTACATTAGGCAATTATCCCTTTTGAAGTGCTTTCTTTTCCAAGTGTTGAGCTAGAACCAAGCCCTCGTAGCCTTTAGTACTGAGTTAATCCACATCTCCCATTCTTTCAGATCTACCAGACCTACTTTGAACTCTCTCGATTCGAGCATGGGCTATTCTAGAAAGTGTGTTTACTAGTCTTTAATTAAAAGTTCTCTGATCCTCTGGATTATTTCTGCCTGGAAATGACCGCTGCATATAGATTTCTTGTACCAAAAATTTCAGCCACCACTTAAAAGTAAAGAATAGACCCTGAATCTTTTAAATGGTTCTGGAATTGGAATTCCAATAGTGTTATTTTCAAGAGTACAGCAGTATGTCGCTGACATTATTGGTTACCTCGATCTCTCTTCTTTTGTAATGAGTTTCCTCAATTCCTCTGACGGCGCACACTGAACTGTTGCAACTTTATCACGACCCGAACCTACAAGGACATCTAGGTGCCATTTATTAGCCCTGTCTGGCTGGTCATGGAGATTCCTCTGACTCGTTGGAAGTTTTTTCTACCTTACCATTTCCGAGTCGTTTAATTTTATTCCGTATTTTAGGAGGTCCTGTAGTAGCGGTTTACACCATGAAGATAAACAGAATAGAAATACGTTCGAGTGACGACTCTAAAAGCATTGTGCATTCGGTGTTTACTCGTTTCGTTCTCACGGACGTTTCGTAAACTTGAGAAACTTTGTCCTAAAGAGGGGTTGGCTTCCAACAGGACTTTGACCACACAGAAATCGATCATATGGTTTGAGTAACGACTCTAAAAGTGTTTTTCGTTTCTAACAACAAAGTAAAACGTTCGTTTCTATAGCAACAAAATGCAGTGTTGGTAGTCTATGTTAAAAAGTCTTATGTTGTGTGCTTTCTTTGTGTCATATGATAGGTTTTCTGTTGCATTTTGCATATTTTGGGCTTAGGAAATTATATTCCGTTGGTTCATAATTAATCACACGCAAGTAGGGGTTTTGTAACTAACATTTTTCGGACACCTGTCTTGAAGTAGCTATCTCGGAAGTTCATTTTTCTTCCGTCGAATGACACGTATTTTTTCATTTTTCTGTATACTTTGCGTTTCCTTCCGATTGCATAGGCAATGTTGAATAGTGTGAAGAAAATTTTGATCTCTTGACTCAAGGAACGAACAATTGAAAGTTCTGAGCCCGAAATGGAAAAAACTTCCGTGCAGATGCCAATTTCCTCTGGGTTTTCCTTGATCACTCTCGTGACGTTTGCTCGCACGTTATTTCGTATGTGACGCGCATGAGTGAGTATAACTATTATCACCAAACAGTGTAGGTCATCCACGCGACAACTCCAAAGACAATTCAACTTCTTTAGACAATAAACAAACCTGAACATTGACAAATGACACTTTCATGATTTATTTGTTGAAAACTTTATCAATTAGTTGACAGCATTAAACTACGACATTCAAGTAGCCTACTGGTGCATTACCACAAAGCTTTTTGGCTTGTTATAAACGTGGGCCACATCCAGCCACATTAAATTGTATTTATTTCTGAGGTGCCGAAACTTCTTCTATCACGATCCTGGACACTGAGTTCCAGCCAGAATGAGCATCTGCATTCCCATAACCGCTACAGTCTCCCACGTTGATCCCCACGCGCACAGTTCCTTGTGGGATGTTCTCACAGTAGCCTTCAATATGACGCACACGAAGTGGCTCTAAATTGCTTGCTTGATGGATATAAATGAGACCATCAATTGGCATAGGGCCACTGCATTCAGCCCCGTTAAAGGTGAAGTACCAACGTTTGCAGCAAATTGTGCATTTAAAGATTCGGAGAGCACCGCTATAGAAAACGCGTAAAGAAGTGTCTTTCTTTGTCTTTTGAAAAATGCAGTCCTGTAAATTTGGTAGGATAGATTAATAAAAGTTATTTTAGGAGAAGAGGTACATTACGATAAGAACGGTTCGTCAATACCTCTATGACTGTGCTAGACTGAATTGCTACGAGCTGGCTACAGTTGCTAGCCAGCTGACACCCATTCAGAGGCTAACGTGAGGTGGGGAAGCCCACATTTACTCTCTTTTAACCGCAATTAACTTTCCAGAGATTATTGCATGATCGCATAGGAATATAAACGAACCAAATGGCGGTGTATTTACTCTCTTCTAAACTCGCGGGCTTCCTTACTTATTTTGTACCGTCGCCCAGAGAAACAAGCAATCCAAGTTTAGAATCAAAATGTGCCTTTTGGCTTACTTTGATTAATCCATAATCCCGATCATCGCTTCCCCTCCAGACGCACTGTTTCCAAGTTGCGGCGATACCAGCTTCCCCTTTAGGGCCCTGTTCTCCTCGTTCTCCCTTTACCCCGTCACGACCGTGAGGGCCTGGTATGCCTGGAGTTCCTGGAATACCAGGTATGCCGTCTGATAGGCAAGTCTATGAAAGACGCAAAGAAGTCAAACAGATTCAGGCGTATCAGAAAGATCTTTCCAAAGTGCAGATTGAGATAGGTAGCTCCAATATTCGTTGTTGTTACGTACCTTTTGAGAGGGTTCGACAGCTTGCAAATAGGCAACTGTAAATATTACTAGCAGGTGAGCTTTCATCGTCAGCGTACTCTGTCAATAATGTTCAGCTTTAGTTACTCAAGATAACCAACTTTTTATATTGTTAGATCTACGAGGATTACTTTTCGTAAGAAGGCTCAAATGAATACTTCCGTAACATCTATGAATTACAAGATCTAAAAAGACTAGGGTACCGAACTGAAATTTCTCTAAGTGCCCTCTGGGTATAGTAAATTGTTGATGGGTAAGTTAGATATGAACAAGAAGAATGGCGGAAGACATTAGCTTCTTTGTTATATTAGAAAATAAAATCACACCTAAAAGCGCCGTGTCACCTGATTTATTAGTAAGGTAAGCCCGAAACTGAATGCTCCCTGAGAACTAGTCACGCAGCAAAGAACAGGTCGCGATTCTCCTTTGAAAAGCCTTTCATGATAGAAAAATCCCGGCAGTTAATGATAACAACTTTTAAGATGGCAACGAACATCACAGTCTTTATATATATACACATGAGTTTGATACCACTAAATACCGTCTATTGCTCAATATGAAACTGCAGCCTTCCGACCGTAAGAAAATTCTTACTGAGACTTCCAGAAGATACGACTTCTCTTCGTTGTATCAATAACAGGCGATGAACACTTTTTACACTACGAAACGTCGAATTTATGTTTTTGAAATATTTGGTCCTAGGCTTGAAGATCACGTAGCAGTTGAAAATGACGCCAAATAAGGGTAGAAAATGACGGGACGTGCTCTTGCTGCTTTGAGAGGATTATTTTAATAATCTTCTCAGTTTTAAGGTAAGTATGGGTTAGACAGTGTCATAACTGACGAAGTTGCTCAAAACTTTGAGTGTGTCCCGTTGATCAGATTCATTGGTAATTGTATAAATCGAATGGAGTCAAGAGAGAGAGAACAATTTGGACTGACTGACTGACGAGCAAGGAGTTGTTTCCTTGTTGTAATACAGGGGAAGGGATTGACAGATGGGGTCGTGACCGGCACGTCGATTCATGCACGTACACTTAATGAAAATGACAGGACGTGCTCTTGTAGCTCTAAAAATATTATTAAGATCAGTTTCCAGGTACGTATGAGCTAGGCAGTGTCTTAAAGAAGTTGCCCAAAACTATGAGTGTGTTCCGTTGATCAGATTCAGGGGTAATTGTCATTGAGCAATTTTACAGAGAGAACAATTTGGACAGACTGACTGACGAGCAAGGAGTTGTTTCCTTGTTGTAATACAGGGGAAGGGATCGACAGATGCGGTCATGACCGGCACTTAGATTCATGCACGCACACTTAATAGCTTGACACCGAAATGTTCGGCAACTCTTTAACTTACTCGAGCGGCTGGATCAGACTCATTGTGGTCTCTTGAGAGAGGAAGCAACAGGAATTATAGCAGTTTACTCGCCGTGAAAACGCAGCTTAGGTGTTATCCTAATCACTATGTAATACTTGTCGCAGTTTGTATTTTAATACACGTGTTACTACAAAGTGCGACCATTTTAAAACATAGGCATGCATAGCATGCAAGATTTATTCTTTTTGGCCCGGTGAGTTGAGATGGTATACTATGTGCCTAATGTTCTCATTTCTGTAACAGGAAAAAGCATAACTTTCAAAATAACGAAAATATCGCGTTACTTCACCTTAACAGAAAAAAAGACAAATTTTATCTGAACTCGCACAGGTATTTTGCGGTCTATTGTCGCTAATGTCAATACTTCTAAGCAAAAATGAAATGCAACGGTACCACGCTGATTGTTGTCTCTTTCGCAGCCGTTGTTTGGTCTCGTCACACACGATATTTATCCATTTCTTCCCTGTTACCGCACTTGAATAACGGCACAACTCTTGAAGTCTTCCAGCCGGCTGGTATCACTCCAGAGAAATAGGAAAGGTTAATTATGCGAGTCAAGCACTCCGAAATAACCGGAACTCCGTCCTTAGGCAAGCGTGCAGGAGTATTGTCTAGTCCAGTAGCTTTGTTCGTTTTTAGCTTTCTTAACAAATTGTAAACAACTTCAGGTCTTGTAGTAGAACATACAACTCCTCACGCTAACATACAGTCATTTATTTTTTTTTAATAACAATAAAAAAAAAGCTGAATAACACGTCACATTTTGTAATTAAAAAAAAATAAAACATTGCACTTTGTCAAATACTAGTCGCACATTGTAGCAAAGGGTGACGATTACCACAAAGTGAAAGAACATGTCATTTATCGTACCAAGAGGCCTCGAAGAATAATAAACATCACTGCTGGATCGGTTTATCGACAACTGACCTCCTATTCCGTCCAAGGTAATCGTATAGAAATTTTATTTCGCCTTCAACAGACTTCAAGGCAACACTACCACTTGATTAATGATTAACTATAGGTTAATTTACGAAATAAACGCATCAGAAAACCTTTCTCATTCCTTAGCATATACGTGGTCCAATTCCTGTAGCAAGGACATCCTAAAGACTTGCGTGATTGTGCAACCTTTAAAAAATATTTGGAAAATGCCAGGGAACTTCAAATAATTACCGAAATCCTACCGAATAATTCGCGAGAGCCCGATTTTCACTTTCAAAGTTAAATAATGGCAAATATGATACTGATGTTTCACAAAAGTGTGTTGCTAAAACCGTATCAACCCTTGAGGCCTACACTAGCTAGCAGGTATGAAAAGAGCATGGAGCTAATAAGAGGAACCACCCTCTTTACCAGTTTTCAGCCGTTCGTTTCCCATGAGTGGTGGATAGAACAGGCAGATAGCAATGGTATCTCTAGCGCCGATTGTCATCTTGTGGGCGTTGTTTCCTACAAGAAACATAGTCCCATGATGCTTTTCAGAGTCAAAATCGTGTCGACATTGCCCGTTTTCCCATACGTATTCACCTTGACCTTTGATAACATAGACTAATTCTTTGTTATTTAGATATTGGAGATGCTTGCTAAAACTACTCGAACAAAACGTGTTGTGAACTGAGATGTTGTAGCCATCAGGGGCGGCAAGAAACCTTCGACTTAATCCATCTTCAAAGGGAACATTGCGATCTGAATCAGTTACTTCGTCCAGGCTCTTCATTAGCAAAGGTGGGGGAGATACGCTTGTGTCATGTGGGACGGAAACAGCAACCATTCTCACTGGCTCCTGAATACGAATGTGAACGTTTTTGTCAGATGTGAGAGCAAGGAGATGGTCAGCGGTGAAAGGCAGCTGTTTGGTTGCACCGTCGTGTATGACACATCGCCCTGTTAAAATGGATGAGGTGTTTAGCAACATGAAAGTTGTGATTTTAGATATGTGAAATTCATATTTATTTGCACTGCGGTGAAGAAACGAGTTTAAGAGATCCTCGCAGCCAAGAACACTACTGAACTAGTAGTTGAAAATAGGACCTGAAAAAATTCAGGCCCGTACGGGATTTGAACCCATGACCTCTGCGATACCGATGCAGCGCTCCACCAACTGAGCTAACAAGCCAACTGGGAGCTGGTCAATATGTTGAGTCCAAATAAACCATCCAAGTGATGAATGATGATTTCAGTTATATGAAGTTCATATATTTGTATATATTTGTATAATAATATATATTCCAGTTGGCTTGTTAGCTCAGTTGGTAGCGCGCTGCACCGGTATCGCAGAGGTCATGGGTTTAAATCCCGTACGGGCCTGAATTTTTTTCAGGTCCTATTTTCAACTACTAGTTCAGTAGTGTTCTTAGCTGCGAGGATCTCTTAAACATGAAAGTTCTTTACGTCTTGAAGATACCTTGCTCAACATGAATGGATGTTTGACGAGTTGCGTGGTATTTTTCCGAGCCCCTTCGAGGCTCGGTAAAATATCAGTAATGAACCAATTGTCCGCTCGTATTCCACGTTAAACCCTTCGAATAAAGTCTTTTTTTTGTCTACCAACATTTAATTTTTTAGTATGCTGGCTTCTAGTTTTCGATCGCAAAGGGCATGTACGAAAGATGAAAATAACGCAAACGAAACCATTTAAGTTTACTTTTATGACCCCTCCCTTTCCACTAGGAAAAGAAAAGTTTGGATCGTTAAGTGCAATTATTCTGTTGCTCCACTTTCTGTCTGTATTCAATACTTCTTTTACAGTGCAATATCATTTTAAATTTTGTGCTTTTCGTTGCCCTTTTATTGTAAATTAGAATTTAAAAAGTAGACATTTCTCAGGAACGTTCGAGTCTTTGAAATGGTGGATAAGGCGCTTATTTCAGTGATTAGAAAGGAGCTCAATCGCGCGGAGGCGCTGTTTAATTATCCCCAAATCGTAACCAAGGAATAACCTTCTCTTTTTTCCGCAATTTTGCACCCAAATAGTTCGGCAAACGGGATAATTCACTTTAAAAGAACTGGGGGTAGGGAAAGGGGTGCTTGTTTAGATTTTGGTTTAAGTGGGAGGCATATTCTTAACGGTTTTTAATAGAAGGAATCACTCATTCGAGAATGTGCGATGATCAGTGTTGAATTTTTGGTCACCTCAACAAGTTGCCGATGCTAACCAAATAACAAAAACAAAAGAAAGACAATTAGTGGTGTCCAATTACTTAATTTGCTCCATCTATCTAATTTTAATTCAAGACGGCTAACGCGCTGCTTGCGTGACTGAATAACAGACCCCTGGCTTTCTTAACCTGAATTCTCGAGTTTCGACTCTCTAGACTTCGTATTCTGGCACCCATTGACCATTAGTAGTGCTCCTCACAATAATCAAAGATTAAAGGTAACTGCTTGTATCTAGTCTCTAAATCAAACAAAACTTCGAGTATATGATAGACGCAAATACTACAAATTTACCACACTAATAATACTCCATGGACTTCTATCGACCCGTGACAGTACAGGCGTCTTATTAGAGCGAGCTAACGATATAAGCTCGCAATTGTTGATCCGACGGGCCATGTTTGATTTGGAGTTAGAGTGGACGGTGGGGGTAGGGGCCGGGGAAAGGGCGAAAATCTTCACTCCCCCACACCTACGCCTCTTCTTATTCTTGACCGATGACTACCCCCTTAGTACGTATTTTCTTCTCTCCCCTGTCTTTCGCTGCCATTTAATTCAAAGATGGCGGCCACAATTTTTACTACGAAGATACTTAGCACCAGCTAACTAAAGAAGTCAAATATGCTGTTTTCTGTCTTGCGGTATAATTCTATCAATAATTCAGGAAGGCTCTGACACGCAGGGCACGGTGGCATGATTCTCTTATGTAGATATATAGTAATTTGGGTTTTATCTCGGTTTTTTTGTGTGCGTGTGAAAGCTAAGGGTTTCATTTGACCAGGTCTTCACTCTACTGATATAATTTGTCATAGGGGCGATAGTCATTCGTTGCATGGAAATGTTTACTCATACCTTCAACACAGTAGTATATGTGATTGTGATTACGGTGAAATGCGATGAGCGTGACCTCGTCGCCAGCTTGAGCGTAAAATTCGTACATTGCACATCCCACTCCGTCTTCAAGGGAAACTAAAATCTTTCCCTGTATCTTACTACTGCCAAGGGGCACAATCGGAAGATCATCTGCAACTCGAACTTTCATTATTGCTTCAGATTTGTCAATCTGCAAATAGGTTTATCGTGCTTGGATTTGCAAGACGAGGGGTCTCAAGAGGCCTGGAAGCCACAAGCCATTCCCAGAGGACATTGCGAGTCAAATTTTCGTCAGGCGCGGAAAAGATACAGTAAGCTTGAGTGAAGTTTTATGTTATTCCACGTCAAATTGAAAGATTTCTCGCGCGGTCACAACAAAGAAGGCATTTATTGAAAGATAGGTGCCTGGGGTGCGGGTACTCAGACAATGAGCGGGATTGTTTCCCCCGGCTTAAGCCATTTCCACCACCTTACCCTCAAAGATCTTAACCAAAAAAAGGGTAAGTGATCACAATTCATAATTGCCAGGGATTGCAACCATCCTAAATCATTTTCTTTTTCAGCGAAATACACTCGGGAATCCTATTACAACAACTGCACCTGTAGCATCATGAAGACCGGCATTCGTTGCTGTAACGGGGGCAACAGGTCATCATCGTTAATCTTCTTTCCACGCATGAACCGCTCTGCCCTTCTGTGTAGGTTGTTTAAAGATCGTTATCAAACTATTGTTTGAAATCTTCGTCAGCCTATGAGCAGTACTTGTTCCAAAACTCCCACCTCCTTCTGGGAGTGATCAAGGCTGGTTTTACGAGGGGCTGGTGTGGATGAAGACGAAGCATTTGTTTCCCCCCCCCTCCCCCCTTCTCCCCACTTCCCCTCAACAACCCACCTCAAGTCCTTTTTGCACTTCTGTCGAGGTAAAATTTTAAGTTTTGAACGATCAAACAAACAAAATGAATTAGGAGAAGGCTGTAAAATAGTCTATTCTCAGCTTAGTCAACATGGTAGGTTCAAATAACATTGTAAAATGTGTCGTAAAAAATAAGCTGTTTCATAGAAACAATTTTTAATTTTGACACTGAGTGTTGTGGATAAAATCTTCCTCTAAACATCACGAGGTGTTCGCGTGGTTTGAAGTCACGTGACTAGACACAGTAAGGCTTTCAAGATCTTGTTTGACGTAACTGAGTCGTAAACCTTGATTGTTGTTTGACTCTCGGTGGCATCTTCTAAATGTCTTTTGGAAAGCTCTCCTGTATTCATTGTTCCGAAGAGAGTAAATCAGAGGATTCAAAACAGTGTTGGAAAACGTGAGAAATAATAAAATTTCCAAAGTCCGTGCTAAGGAACAACCTGTTGTTTGTCCAGCGAAAATTTGCACTAAAGATGCCACCACAATTGGAAGATAGCAGCCCAGGAATGCGCCAATCACAATCGCTGCAGAACCAAAACAAAAAAAAAACACAAAAGTTAGTATTTGAGGCCAAGAAACAGGGATCTTTTTACAGTTTTCAGTGGTTCGGCTATTAAAGAACTACAGGATATTAATATTGATTTTGAGAATAAAAAGTAATTTATCTTACTTGCCTTTAGGCGATAATGACAAGTTTCCATTAGGGTTAACGAGCTCAACGCAATGCCTGTTATGATTATTGCATAATCTGAAGTCCGGATGACTGTAAATATCTGTTGTAACATTCAGTTGTGTGCACCGCACATGAGGTTTAAAACGGGGAGATTAATTTTGGTGGTTTTCCCTTCCTACTTGAATGATATGAAAATTCTGTTCGCAACCCGAATATTCCGTTAATCGTACAGCAAGCACAGTGACAACGAGTTATTTAATGAACGACATTGAAACCTTAATCCACGAATCTCCAGCTAATGACCTTTTAATGCTCGGGGTTTGCGGGTGAGTGAATTGCTTGCTAGTAGCTAATGACATCCGCCCTCTTATTTCCCCATTACAGATAATATGACGTTACTCAGAGGATTACGATGTCTTTGAGAGAAAAGGTCATTTTCATGCACCCTTAATTTCCATTTGGAGCAAACATCAAACCTTCGGAAGATTTCACGTAATCTACAATGGGCAATCTCGGCTTTTTCGCTGCATAATCTCTGTTATTTTTTCTTAACCTATTGACCCATTAGATACGGAATGATGTAAGATTCTTCAAGCAAAACCTGACCGTGCTCCACATGAAAAAATTTAGACCTCTATGATACAAATTTAATAACAGGCCAAAATAAGTGCAGAGCAAATTATATCATGACAATTGAGGTATTTGACTGAACTGACCGAAGAAAATGATGAGTAGTTTTCAGAATTTCTACTCAACGTAACAGAAACAACAACACCACCAACAGGGGTCTGTGAAGCATGACGCAACATTTTTTTCTTTAAGCAGTAAACATGTTGTTGCGGCATACAGCATAGTTTGTATTTTGCACGTGTTCCATTGTTTTTGTTTTTTTCCATTCCATAGATATTGCAAAGTGTACTTTTCTTGTATTAATGCATGTTGGCTATTTAGTAAGTCTCGACGCAGAGTTTTTACTTTTGGTGACGAAAAATAATTTTCAGGCTTTCTTCGGATTTGGAGAACCTTTCTTTTGTATCAAAGCTTTGTTGAAGGATTGATTCTGTGAACCGTTGTGGCTTGCTTTACCTTTTCAGGTCATGTTTTGTGTATCGCAAAGGAACGTATATTTTTAAGTGAAAAAGGGGGTCTTTATGCTCGTTTAGAAGAAGCAGCACCTTGAAGATACCTAACAATTCCTATAATATCAAAACAAAATTCGTGTTTCCGCAAAAATTGTTCACTTTGCTACACTGAGAATTGGTTGACAGACAGAAACTCATTGCTATATTCCAAGAAAGAGATAAAAAAACATGACATGTCACCATGCAATGCAATGCTATGGAATGACCATACGCTTGGTCAAATGAAAACGTGGTTGTCCTACTACTATTGTTATAGGTAACATCCATCACATTTGCACTTACTATAAACATCAATAATCCACGCAGTCAGGTTCAACTGCCCCCCTCGGGTGTTAGGAGAGCCAGCTCACATCAAACCCTTAACCGCGGTTGTTTTCGTCTTTTCGTCTTGTTGATTAGGGAAACTTTGTTATAATATATTTCACTATGGAATGGGAAACATACGCCAGAGAGAAAATAAAGCACAAAACTGGTGCAAGGATTTTAAAGGAGGGCGAAGATTGACTCAGATTTTAGACAACAAACTGGAACTGAGAATTAAGGTTAAATTAGCCAAAATTCACAAGCCGTGACGTAGCTCGGTTAATGATACTCCAACAAGATAAACTTACCTAGCGTTTTGGCCCATTTTCTATCACGTGTTCGGGGAAGACCACGAAGATGTGGCACTCTGACTGCCGAGATCACAGCAACACCAACTCTGTTGGCTTGATACCAAGCAACTTTGCTAATTCGACAGTAAGCCCACATCATCACAAGAAGTGGTAGAAAGAAAAGAAAAATTACGTTCACACTCATATGGAAGCGATCCTTTTTGTCAATTTTTTCTATCGAACCTTGCTCCATGCATCCATAGAAGCTGGCATAGCCACGGAGATCCACTAGCGCAGCAGGGAAGATTAGTATAGAAAAAACTGGGATGATCCAGATCGTTAATAAAATCACAGCTGTCCTTGTCGGGGTAACCATGAATCTGTAGCGTAATGGGTAAAATATTGCTATGTATCTGTCCAGGCTTAACGTAAATAAGTGCAAAATGCTGATGTAAAGAAGACAGCCAAATATTCTGCCCATAAGTGTGCACATTATAGGGTTTTTACCAATGTTAAAGTAAGTCAAAATTTGGAAAGTCATAATTTGAACGGAGAGTAAGTCTGACAAGGCCAGGCTTGCTACGGCGTAATTCCGCACTGAGGCTCGTAGTTGTCTGTCTTTAAGAACAATAAAACAGATACTTGTATTCCCCAAAACGTTCATCACGGCGATAAGAACAAGAAAAACGGTTTTGAAGATTGTCGCTGTAAGACCGGATGAGGTTAACATGTTGGATGACTCGGTGGTGACATTCTGTGCCCATATTTCACTTGTCGGCGGATCCATTGTCAAAATATCTGCCACCAAGAACTAATCGAATTTTAATTCAAGGGTAGCTTTCAAATAGCGTGATTAGTAAACCCACAAGTGTAGAGATTCAATCATTGTCCCGGGAGCATCAACGCTCTTCACGTTTGCTTCCAGAATAATCTTAATCTCCCTTCCTTGATCAAGGTCACTTTGCGTTGTTTAGAAATTTCTTGATTCCAAGGTCAGGAAAATGCGACGGGTTGTTATTCTTGTCATTCTTTCGACCCGGGAGGGCTTTATTGCTTTGATTTACTGCCTCGCTGCATTCGAAAAAAATTTTATATATAGTCTACTTACCATTCACGCCTTATCTTTCTTTTGCTTTTGTTTTTAAAACCCGCTTTGTTTCGCTTGTTTTCGATGTGGTGTGATCCTCTAGAAGCGTTCTATCAGTTTATTATGTCCTAAAATCTAGACTGTTTTCACGGTAATAGTTTTCAAGATAATGATTGCCAAGGTTTCTATGGCAGCGCACTCCAGTCTTCTGAATGCTCTATGAACCCTCGAACCCACAAGATAACAAAATTGAAGACCCCAATAATGGCTTCCGCATGAATCACATCAAAAATATTAGACTTGTTTGAGTCCTCGAAAGAGCGTGAAATTGCTTCCACCTTGAGTAGTTACTTGCCTAAGGTAGACATGTCTTCTCTTTAGACAGAATAGGTGCTGTCCGGACGAATTCGTAAGATTCAAAGAGAACTTCCATAGATTATTTGTACCGCTTTCATACTTGTTTAGCGTAGTCTACTTCCCACATGCTGTTTCTAAAATTAGACGATCCCGAGCTGTTTAAAACTATTCGAAACATGTTTTGTTATCATCGAAAGTAATAAATCTTTTAATAAAAGTTCCAAATTTAGAGAAAGCGTAGGCACTTGTACGCCATTGTCCCCAGAGTTAGACACTAGAGATGCCAACAGAGTATAGACGGACAGAAAATATTGTTTACTTGACCTACTTTCCGGTTGGTTAGTTTCAGCACGTGTTTTGCAAAAACTTTGCCTTTGGCTAAACCAGAAACTTTTGGAATTTGCGGAACTATTATAGAAATTGATTGCATTCGAAACTGAAATAGCTTTAAAATCTCCGCTTTATTCGCTTGTCATAGAGTTTTACAGTGGTCTTTTTTTTCTCCCATTTCTTTTTTCATTAGTGATGGGAGTGCAGAACTTACATTCAAACTATTCACAGTCATCTTTATTGATGAGTTTTAAAATAGACGTTATTGAAATTCATGATTATGAAGCTGTACTGTGTGACATGCAATTACACGTCTCTTTGATATGGACATACAAATTCTACAAATTCTTGACTGACTTCATTCTTCGTGAAGAGTAACACTTGTTCTTACTTACTTTTAGAAGCGAAAACTTGGAGACGTGTACTTAGGGCTCTTTTGGGGAAGAGAATTGACAAGACCTCACCGCATTCAAGGAGAGGTAAGCTTAAAAACCGTAATACATTTGCCAACCACACTAAGTAAAGCAAGGCAGTATCGACCAATAGAGAGGAAAGCATCCTTGTTAGATAGTGGTCAAACTGTTGTGTAACAAGCTGATTTTAGAAACAATATCAGAGACTATTGCGCCATCGTAAATTCATTAAAGTTTTCCCTGACAAGCATACTAGAGCGCTACATTTGCCATCAAACGACACATGTCAATGCAGGCTGACTGGAGAGGAGAAGTTTCCTTCAAACTTTTGATATAATTTCCTTCAAAAGTGTCGTACGTAATAAGGCCAATGTCATTCAGGACAATTTTTCATCCAAGTTTAGTATGTCAGTCTTCTGCAAAAAAAATTGATATTTTTCCCATCGGGTTTCATCGACAAGGATCATCGGTTATCAAGGGAACCCTTTTCGAGGAAACACAGAATCTTTATTTGACAGAACCTGTCCTATAAAAAGATCTTTGCTTGTAATACTGTCATTGTCTTCAAATATTTGACTCAGTGAAACATAGAATACCTCAGAACGAGTCCTTTAGTCCTATTTCAATTCAGAGTCATGCCAAATTCCATACGTTATCGGGAAGTATTGGATAACTACTTGCTTTCCTCGCGTACATATGCCTTTGACTAAAAGGAGCTTAAGGCTAGCTTTTCTTTTTTCGAAAGCGACGAGTGCGACGGGTCCATTTTGGTCACTGTTCCCTCCGTTTTTTTTTTTTTTTTTTTTTTTTTAATATGAGTACTAATAATATTGCCATAAACCATCTAGATAGAGTCTTGTAAACATCCCAGTTAGAAGTCATTTGACTCAATCTTTGTACTCTCACGTCATTAAACTCTCACGGCTTATTTCAATTTTTGATTTCAAAACTTTATTTTCATCAATTTTTAAAACATTGACTTCCTTGAGGAGACCTCCTCTGCTGGAAGAAATGGGTATTTTAAGTCTGGAGCAAATAAGAAACAATGTCAGTTGATTTGAAGCTTAAGAAGTGCTTCTTCCACTTTGGATCAGATAATGTTTTATGGTTGTTACGGTGCTCGCTTCTAAAAAAATTTATCTTAAAGTTACTCAACAAATTTTTTTATGGTCCACTTAAATCGCTTACGTGCCCTTTAGTAGTAATATCTTAAACAATCATTATCTTACTCCTCACCTCGCCTCTCTCGCGTATGCTAAATGATATTGAATAAAAAAGAAAAGTAGCACGTGAAATAAGATATAATAAATGACTGATGAAATGATGCGTACCTCTCGCTTGCCTTCGTCCATGGCGGCACTACACAACACTTCTCGACACAGCCGTTAAAGTGAGTACATGGGGTTGAGGGGCAAAAAAAACCTCTAGCGGGCCTTCGCTCCAGTATGTCACGCAGACTTCATTTTGGCCTGTCACGCAACATTTCTAATTTCAATTAACACAGTTTAGTTTTTTTTTTTTAACTCTCACCTCTCACTTTTTGTGTTATTTTATAGCAATTCCTTTTTTATTTTTCAAAGCTCTTTTTTTTCCGATCCGTGATCCGATCAGGTCCGATCCAGATTTTGTCAACACCTAACGCGGACTCCACCTGTGGGTTGTAATACGACATGCAAAACCATGTTAGTTGCACCACAGGGGGTCTCTCTGTCAGTTAGTGCAGGTCAACAAGGAGGTGACACTTGGCGAAATTTTGCTGTTCTCGGCGGAGTTGGGTGCATTATTTTTCTTCGGATCGTTTTGATATGGCTAGTGGTGCAAGTGATGACACATCCATGAAATTTTGGCTTCGGGCGGAATCGAAACCGCACGAACAACGCACTCCACTGACACCAGTCACTTGCAAAAAGCTACTTTCTGCCGGTATGTCTTTTTAAACTTTATTTTACCGTGCACTAAGTCAGTTCTAGCGCTTATGCATTTATTGTTGAGTTACTCAATCAATGTTTATTGAATAAACTTGCTGATTAGAGTTTTAGACTCGCTTAACCGTTGGTTTTTTTAGCTTTTGTAAAATAATAGTGGGTGTATCCGTTCAATACTCGCTCGCATGTTCAGTTGTTTATTTGCACTGCACAAGAGAGTCGTGGTTCTCGTTGAATCTCTTTCAAAATGCTTATTTTCGCCAGTCCAAATGAAAAAAAATTACTTTACATGTATTACGTGATTCTTATGAGTGCCACGTTTTCAAGGTACATTTTTTTGCGAACTTTTTTCAATTTTTTAAAACATTCGACTTGATGTGTCGCCATGCTTTCCATAATTCCGGGATGAGTTCACAGCGAGTTTGTAGGCGCCCAGTCTCGATGCCATTTAAAAGAGACGAAAAGCAGGTGAATTATATTTTCGAGAAAAGACTTCTTTTGGCGTGAAGGAGACTTTTTAGCTACTACTACAACGTGTATAATAGAGTCTGTTAGCTGTTGATATGTTTACGAAATCATACGAATAATCTGCATACCACGAGTAATGGCTCGAGCGAAACGAGATCACAGTTATGGTTCAGTGATAAAAAAGAATATATTTGCAAGCATAAGATCTCAGCTCTAATTCTGTCAATAAGATAAAACGGCCCGCAAACTTGACCTTGAATATGCATTTTGATTTCTGTTCAATTACGCAAATTAACGATATCCTTGGTAGCGCGAACATAATAGCCGTTTGGATTTCGCGTGAGATCTAATCCCGGTATTGTTCAGCAACTTTAAAGAATGCTTAAAACCGAATTATACTTAATAAAGTTAATCTTGTGCGGAACAAAATTTTTAAGTGCGTTAGCAAAGAACAATTTTGGTTTGATATTCGACTGGTAATCGCTGGTGCGTTAAGAACGAATGCCGATGTATTTTCCATTTATTAAAATAAAAGAGGTCCACATAACAAAGGATCAGTGACGTTGAAATCCTCCGAAAGCTGTGCACATCACATGCAAGACTAGGAATAAAAGGAGATCTTTGTCATGTTTTTCCCAGCCTTGATAAGATTGATCGATAAGATTTACCTGGTCCGAGTAATACAAACAATTTGGAGTTCTTATTAACATTGTTTTGTATTTTCTGTTTAAAGGTCACCAGGTTTTTGTGGAAAAGTCGGAAGACCGAGTTTACAAAGAAGTTGATTATGAAAGGTGGTAGATTGAGATTGAACATTGAAAAATTGAGAAAGTAACATAAAAGTTCTCTAGATGTGGCTGGGTTAAAAGTTTCAAGTTTAGGTTGCAATAGTTACAAGAATGTTTAACCCTTAAACACCCAGGAGTGATTAACATGTCACTTCTCCCTTCAATGTTCATACATTATCCAGCAAACAGGTAATGAGAAGACTCAAACTAATCAAGTGGAAGATGTTACCCTGATCTAACACCAAATGCTTGTGACCAGTTTAGAAGGAAATGTGTAGCATCTAGAAGGAAGAATTAACAATCAGATCTTAGGAGTTAAAGGGTTAAGATTTCTTTCATGTTCTTGGAATCCTAAAGATCTTGAAGCTTTTATAAACTTTTTTTAAATGTGGTGCATGTTTTATCTTTCATATAGGGTTGGTTGTAAAATTGTTGAAGAAGGAAGTTGGACAGATGCTCCTGCAGATGCTTATATAGTGGGGATTAAAGAACTGCCAAATGAGGATCATCCCCTGAAAAATCCTCACATTTACTTTGGCCATGCCTATAAGGTGAGAAGTACATTCTGTTTTGTCTTCTAACTTTGAATCATTTACATGATATCAATGAAAAATGCAACATTTTTTGAATGATTACAGAAGTAGCCACAGAGTTTACCATCATCCCTTGTTTAACCCACATTCAAGTAATCTTTTATTATCATTGCTTGTTTGAAATCTGTTTGGTAGATGGCTTCCTTTTCTGTATAAATCATTTTTAACATCCTCAGAGAGACCCTTTGTCTGGTAAAGTTGTTTTATTCAAGCTTACTGTTTCCTAATCTTTATAGTTATTAATGACTTTTTTTTTAGAGATGTAGTACATAGGAGTAAATGGTTTGTATTCTGGACTTACAAGTCTAGATTCAAGTGTGAGCTTGGCTGGTTGAATTATACCTTTGAGTAAGAAATGAGATACTATCAAAATAGAAGCCCGTATTCAACCATACAAAGACTATGAATTGGTATCAGGGAAGCTGTTGAAATGCTAGGAGGGGAGTGGGGAAGTGTGAAGGTTTGACATATGATTCATCCACCTGGGGCATAAGCAAGTTGGTCCATGCAGCTAACTTGACTGGTTATCAGAACTGGGTTTAAGATACTGCAGTGTTTACCTGCATCAGGGCTGTAAGCCATTCTGAAGTTGTATTTATTCTGGTGTAAATTAGTTAAAATCCATTTTGCACTAAGAAGCACTGAAAACAATGAGTGGGTTAACACCTAATACTTCTACCTGAATCTCCGGATAACTTACAAAATTTCTTTATAATTATCAGTTGTTATGTATTTGATTGTTTTCAAATTTGCAGACTACTTTCTGTTCATCATGGGCAGAGAAGTACGTGAAACATTACTCAACCCTTTCACTCCCGAGATCTCATTAGTAATTCCCTTACTAAATGTTGTACAATTCTTATGATTTTAGTTCTGAGAATTTGTTATTGGATCAACTGATAATCCCTTAATTGATATTTCTCTTTATTCTCATCACTTGTCTGCTTAAAATTGTATGGATATAGCAGAGAGAAATTCTCTCTTGATCACTTGTGGATGTTAAAGGGTTAATAACTGTCTTGATAAAACAGAAGCAACCTTTGGTGCCTGCAGCTGTAGAATTATAACAAAAGCTTGGATTTTACAAGTATTACTCGGTTTTCATTGTTCTATGAAATGTGACAGTAAAGTTACTACACATTCTAACAGAATGTTGCAGCCAGAATCCCTTGTTACAACACGATGATTCAAAGAGTCATCGATCATTTCGAAATTAACAATGATGTTTTCTTCTCAGACGTGGCTGTTTGACTTTGTGCTGTCAGGGGACACAGGTTAGCCTGGAACCCTGCTGACTTAATTTCCAGTATTAGACATTGTAGAAATTTTGGGAAAAATTCCTACATATGTGATTAAGTTGGTTTTTCAAAATAAATGCTTTATGAAAATATGCTCATCTATCCAGAATTTGTACAGGCATCTCTAGATACTTTAAATATTAGGATCTTTATTAAGAAATTCCTGGGTAAAATTGCATATCTTGTAATGTGTACACATACAAACTTGTGATTATTATGAAAAACCATGACCAGTATAGAATTCTTGGCTATTAAGGTGGAAATAAATTTTAGGATGGGCATGCTTCTGCAATGGAACTGATGTGTTTGTTTCCATGTTCATTTACATGGACAGTACTTTTAAGTTTTTTAAATTTCTTATACAATAATGATGTATAATGAATGATTATAACATCAGAGAATTTCTTGTCTTTTATAACACGAATCTAACCACACCACTCTCTCAAAACATTCACCTAAAGTCTGATGGAAGTTTTTGGAAATAATTTTTACTTGTTAAAGAGAAAAGATGATTGATTTGAAAAGTGTTGTGGTTTCATTAATTGAAATTTAAAACACTAGCAGCTTGAAAAAGCAAGTAGACAAAAATATGAATAACAGGAGGTTTAATAAAAAAGACTAGTCATGTTAATGCTGAACTTCAAAAGCTTGTTTGCCTATTGTGGCATCGAGAACTTGTTTGCTGATTCTGTTACTGTGTGTTTTTCAGGGACAGGATGGCTGGAGTGACCTGCTGCAGAGGTTCCATCAAGGTGGTGGTGAACTACTTGATGTTGAGTTTATTGTCAATGACAGTGGTGGGTACTTTAATTTCTAGCTTTAAACAAGTTCCTTGCTTTATGAGATTGTAGTCCATCTCATGTAACCATTCAGTAAGGAAACAAGTTTGAAACAAGTTGCACCTGCAGACAGGAATATTGCAGTCATGGAGATGTCACAAGTGAGAGACTCAGTGGAGGGTTCAAGGTCTGAGAGCTGGCTGGGTTGATGTGTTGTATTCTTGGGCAAAACACTGTAACAGTGCTTCTCTCCACCCAGGGGTATAAATGGGTACCCACTAGTGGTCAGGGGAGCTTGATGAAAGGCAGGGGTTGGTTGGCCTCACACCCAACTTCCCTTCCTTCCATCTTCTAGCCAAGTCAAATTTAGAGAACAAACTGAGGGGCTGCTTGAGTTGATGCATCATTAAATATTAAATCATATGACCACAAGAATATGGTAGAAATGACAATTTGAATGAGAAAAATCCAAACAATTTTGATACCCACCAGTAAAGATAGTCAGAAACTATGATTTGCTAGAGCATACTGCATTTGCAATCAAGCCAGAGCTCCAACCAATTCACATGGTATCTTAAACCATAACAAGCTTCTCTTGAATGAGGTGACTTATTCAGAACAAAGTGCTGACTGCCTTGTATAATTTGGACTTTGAAAATAGGAGTCAATTCTTTCTGTTATTATCTGGCTGAACAGTTTTTCAAAACAAATGATGTCTGCTGCTTTTCTTTGTAGGTAAACGAGAAGTTGCTGAGTTTGGACCAATGGCAGGAATTGCTGGAGCTGCTCTTGCAATAGCAGTTTGGTGTCACCAGCAACTTAAGTATGGATTTCATTGAAAAAAATTGATGAATCAGTCTCTTAGCTCAGCTTTATCAAAAAAATGTAAACAAGTTCTGTTGTTTATTTTTTAAAATGATGTTTGTTATTAGGCCGAATGAGATGTTCCCAAGTGTTACTCCATACATGTCTGAAGATGACATGGTGAACCACTTGAAAAGCCAATTACAGCTGATTGCAAATGAAAGAGGTATGTCCACAATGTAATTATTTTCAAATGAATTATTAATATTTATGGGATTAACCTCCTGGACTGTCTAAATAAAAGCTGATTGTTGTTGGTGAGATGTTATAGGATGGAAAAGGAGGAGATTTCAAAAGAATCTGAAACTGAGGGAAAAAAAGTTTCTTGAAAAACAACTTAAACCCTGGACCAGGAAGTAATGCAATGTCTATTGAGTATCATGTCACATTTGGTAGGAGTTCCTGAGATTTACCCAAAGGTGTTGATTATTGGAGGAAGTGGTCGTTGTGGCCAAGGAGCTGCTTACATTTTGGAGAAGACTGGAATTCCAAGGTAAGTTTTTTTTTCAATGAAACTGATAATGTGTTTCCCCAAGACTTTTCTTTTAACCTTTTAACTCCCAAGATCTGATTGTCAATTCTCCCCTCTAGCTGCTACACATTTCCTTTTAAATTATTACAAGTATTTGGGGTTAGATCAAGAAAACAACTTCTACCTGATATGTTGGAGTATTCTCATTACCTGTTTGCTGGATAATGTATGGATAATATAGGGAGAAGTTTCAGGTTAATCACCTCTGGGACTTGAAGGGTTACCTTCTACTTTTTTCATAACCTTGAACTGTAGCTTTTGAAACTTCTTTCCCCTCCCTCTACCCATAATATTTTGAGTACCCCCTTGTGAGGTAGTTCAGGGGTGTTTTCTGAGACAGTGTATCAAGGAACAACAGTGCAAGTGTATTCAGATGTGATATGTGTGCTACAGTTGTGGTTTAAGTTATCAGTTGTTATTTTATGTTTGAAGCAAAAACATTGTCAAGTGGACAAGACAGGAGACACAAGGTGGTGGACCTTTCCCTGCCATCTTGAGTTATGACATCTTTGTCAACTGCATCTTCTTGTCAAAGGTAATGATTGAAACTTCATTTTGATTGAAAGTGTTTTAAATAATATAGTGTCTCTTATAATAGTCTTGAATTTTTCTTTGACAGAAAATCCCTCCATTCTTGACAAAGGAAATGTTCCATAACAACACCAGGTATTCTGAGAAAAACATTGTTGTCAGTTAGTTGATTCTTCTCATTTCAAGTTCTGTTGCTTTGTTATTTTTCCAGTTTAACCTACCTGTATGTTTCTGGTTGTTTTAGAAACTTAACAGTTATTTCTGATGTGAGTTGTGATTGTACCAGTCCTGATAATCCACTACCAATCTATGACACTATTACTACCTTTGTGAAACCAACACATCGGCTTGATATGAGGTGGGGAAAATAATTTGAGTTGCATAAATTATTTTACCAATAGTGAGAGGCTGTGAGAGTTGATAGACCATTCCCAAGCTCTAAAACCCTTCATTTCATAATGAGGCTAAGTGCAGGACCTTTTATGTCCACAGGGTTGTATTTACATGAGAACAAGAAGCTATTTTCTTATCATAAAATGTGTACTAAAACCCTCATTTTAAAACAAGGGACCAGTTCATCTCAAAAATTGCCCTGAAATAACTATTCCTTTGCCTATTACAATGTATTCACTTTGGCTCTCAATGATATCTTAAGTTGTTCAAAATCTTTAAACTTTAATTCACTTTCCAATAATTTGTCTTTACAGCCCAAGCACCAAACTATTGGATGTCATTGCAATTGATCATCTTCCATCCCTTTTACCAAAGGATAGCAGTGATAAATATGCTGCTAAACTTCTTCCTTTCCTTTTGAAACTTCCTGAGGTATGTCAGTGGATAAATAAGGGAAATTGTTTGCAAAGTGTTGGTTACAGGTTGAAGAAGTATCCTTTGGAAACCATGATTTTTATCTCTGCCATTTGTAATTGTGGTACTGACTAACATTTTAGATTGATTTCAAACAATTAATCCAACTGCAGATGTACCAAAGATTTGACAAGATGCAGCTATTTTCTGAAATAACTGTATTTTTCAAAATAGCTTTTTTAACAATTAAATTTGTTACTAAGCAACCAGGTAGCTGTATGTGGCCTGAAAGACTTCAACTCAGAACCAGAGTGGGAACAAAATTAAGAGACAGAGGCTGAGAACTAGTTTAGCAGCATTTGTTACATTGCATCTTGTAGTACCCCTTACTAACGGCCAAGTTACTGGATTGTTCTCCAGAATGAAGGCTTTCTTATTTTGCATTTCCAATGTATTGGTGGGCAATTATTGTCAAAAGAGTTAGTTTCACTTCAGAATCTCTACAAGAACTAAATGTTTATGTGTACTCCTTTAACAAGAAATGTGCCACAAATGTACCGAGATCATACTTGGAATTAAATACTTGGAATTAAATAGGAAAGCGACCCTGACAGTATTGTCCTAGGTTGTTGTTACCCTGTTTTTCTTTTACCATAAACTGGGCAAGAAGCCTTTGGGTATTATTTTAGTGAAACCAAGGTTCTGATTTGCTGCTTGAACTCATTTTTAGGCATCCACTTATCCTCCATGGGTCAGAGTCAAGAATATCTACAGAGACAAATTGAAGGAAGCTCTGGCAGGGATTGAAATGCGAACCAGGAAGGAATCTGTAGCAAGAGATGAAGCAGAATTGTCCTCCTCATCGGAGTTTGAAAGTGAATGAAAGACACTTATCTAAGGGTGGTTCTACAATTTGATATCTAGTCCACCAAATTTTATAATTCGATATGTAGTCCACCATATTTCAGATGCCACTTAATATTCTGCAAGATGTTAATTTTTTTTTTTTTATAGAAATGGACTGATTCAAATTCATACTGGAACTTGATAAGGAAAAATGTTGAGATGATTTTTTGATCCCATCCAGTTAAAAACACTTCATATCTCATTTTGACCTCTGGCACAATGATTACCAGCATATCAGTTCCATGGTGGGACTGTTTGAGTCACTTGATTGAAGAATCAGTGTTTCATACTTTAGTATTCAGTTTTTTTCCTAAGGGAAGTTTCTATCATGGATTTGAGGTGGTGTAGTGAGCAGGAAATTGTTTTGCTGCAGTTAAGATTCACCCAAAAGCAGGACTTCTCACATTCTCTATCATATATACTGAACTTATAATGTTGGGGCAAAATTGTATGGTTCACTTTGAAGGTCTCTTGTGACTCTATGTAATAAGCCTTAATAATCCTTGGGATTTCATGGTACCGGTGTTTAATATGCAGTTGTATACACTGACACTTGTGTTAAGTTTTTGTAAGCTTTCTGATTTCTAGTTGTAATTGTTTTTGGCTCTTAGTAAACTGACATAACAGAACATTGACCTTTAATCTCTTCGGCCGATCATTGACAGAAAAAAGCTTTGCAAACATACAACTTTGAAAATAATTTGCGACGCTTTTTTGGCTCTGCATCTCGCACAACAACGAGAAAGATTGAGACCTCGCGAAACAACGTGCCCCTTGAAGGACCTGCTACAGGGTTGGCCAATCCTAGCATTATTGGGACGCAGTACTAGCAAAGTCGCGTATTTTTTTATTGGAAGTAAAATCATCACAAAACCATACAACATTGAATAGCTTTTTAGTTGAACAATAAGGAGCCATTTAACCCTTAATTTGGCGGCCCGAAAAGCACCCTTGACCCTTTAACCCTAAGAGTGATTAACATCCAATTTCTCTGTACACTATAAATGAAATGATCATAAACTAGAGAAGCTCTTGATTTTTAAAGAAATTCACGTTGTTAACACCTTAAGAAATGCATAGAGAACCGTATGGGAAATATGCACAAGAATGTCTGGGTGTAAAAGTTAAAGAATCTTGTTTTCAGGAAAAACTTAATCTTTTTACCCAGAGCCCCTTTCTTGAGCTCGATTTCTGCCGTTTTTTGAGTCCCATCTTCGATTCTCCCGAGACGGACTTCTGGGGTGAGCGCAGGCTCATTCCCGAGTAAAGGCTATGAATTGTGCCCACGTGCAACCCACTCCCTAAGCCAACCCCTTTCTTCGCTTCGCTTTAGGAAATCATTATACATTCGAACACGGACTTCGAATCGTAACGGACTCTTCTTTGTACTAATTTAACAATAGTTTGTCTGCCTTGCATTTCAGAGGCAATTCGTTGAGCTTACTGCTTTCGTAATCTTTGCCCCGTTTTCTAGAGAAAGAATTCAAACGAACTAGACTCAATCAAACTGTTTTATTCCACTCTCGTATTCGCTTAAGTACAACGGGTGTGTAAAAAGCTACTCGTGCAAAATTTGTAAGAAATCACTCTCTTATACGATATTCTCTACATTGTGATTGGTTGTTGTATTGCTGATTTAAAAGGTCATTCAAGGTTGCGTTGATCATGTAAACCGATCAATGTCCCAAAATCGCTTAAGGCGGTGCTTCTAGCTCTTGACATAATGTTCACACTCATTATCTGACATGTGTCACGCACGAATCGCAAAGTCTCCGACTCTGCTGTGTTATATGTGTTGTTTTGGAGTGTGATTCAGGTTGATTTTTACTGTCCCCTTAATATGTGCACAAACTCCTAAGACTAATATATTTTCCAACGATTTCATCGTAAACGCGTCCTTTAACTGAAAAAGTAAACTTTTCTGAGCGTCTCCTATCTCGAAACAATACATCTAAAACAGAATTTTAAAGGCTTTTAGTGAATCAAAACTCCCACCTTATTTTACCAACCACCTATTTCCATTCTCAAAAGTAAACCCCCGCTCCACCGCCCCTCTACTCTGTGTCCTTATACTACCCCTCCCTTGATGTGATTGGTTTTAAATACGTCCTGGCAGAGACAGTCGGTGATAACCGTTACTGTGCTGGATATTTCTTTTGTAACGAACAGTAAAGAGGAGTTGCAGTATTTTTAGGAATATAATGAGTAGTTGTAATGTTCATCACATTTGGCTTCGCGCGGAGACAAAACCAAATGAGCAGCGGAGAGCTTTGACCCCCGATAAATGCCGGGAGTTAATCGAAAAAGGTAAACTTGAAGGTTAGGTTAGTCCTTAGCGAATGATGTGACACTTGTCCATAGGACATAAGCTAGTGTATTTCGAGGAACTCTTAAAGGCTATTTATGTCTCCCTCGTTAGAAATGTATAGAAGTATTAGATTAATCCTATATTAATATTTTGGTCGATTTCTGGGTAAACAGTCGCTCTTTGCTTGCAAGAGCGCTATGAAGAATAGAAACTAAACAAGTTTGTGTTGGGATAAACTTTGGCTTCTTAAGATGGCCGATGGAATACCTGAACCAAGGACTCTATCTTTGAGCCCATAATTTCAAGTTTGACCACTGCATGGCAGAGGTCGTCAGAACCTATTTCCAAAATTATCACTTCGGTTCTTGAACGCCCCACAGTGGAAAGGTCAAATTTTGACATTTTCCCTGCCGTTCAACCTCTTCTTGCATGAAAGGAGAACTACTCCGGAGCTGACAAAATTAAGGTCCCGCCTAACCTGTTTTTCAGACTCTGTCATGGAAAGGCCCTCTAATCAGAAAATGCTATTTAATTGCAACTGCTCGGGTGTACTACCCATTTTTATTTCCTCACTAAGAGCCAGGATCTGATAGAGTGAGTTAATTATCCAACTTTTTTTTTCTAGGTTTTCAAGTTTCTGTAGAATATTCTGACCAGTCTGCCTTCAAAAATGAGGAATATCAGTGGTAATATGCATGCTATTTTTTTGGTCTACAGTTCTTCAGGGTGAAAAGCACTTTTGTTATCAGTCATGTGTAAGTTAATTTGAGGCTGATTTTCACATTTTTTTTTTCATAGCATACCAGGAATCAATATGGTCCAAGCTGGATCATGGGTCAATGCTCCGAGTGATGCTATAATTTTGGGGCTCAAGGAGCTTCCCCATTCACATGATCCAGTATCTCATAGACACATTTACTTTGCTCATGCTTATAAGGTAATGTTACCAAGCATTTAGCTTTAACAAAGGGGAGCAACATCCAGATGTGGTAGAACAAACACTTTGCATAATAATTACATAACTCTTAAAGGGGATTAAGGGCCTAATTCTTCGTAGGGCAGCTATCTTTGCATATATCTTTTTAAAAATAGTTTTGAAGTGAGGCTTAAAAGAAAGGTCTAGATTCAGTGTAACACCTAAGATTTTAAAAGTTGGCTGAACATCAGTAGTTTCATATGTGATTAGGGGATTGTGGGCGTGATGGGGTTTGCTCAATGACTTTCAAATAGTTGGTAATAAACCACCTAGTCAAGTCTGTTATACTTTGAGTCACAGTTGATGGAACTTCAGGTGGATGTTCTTGGGAAGTGGGTTGAGTCATGTCATCAGGATATAGCCGTAAGGAGGATGTTACATATCGAGAAGTTGATTTTATTCAAATTTTCAATAAGGGCTACGAGTCCTCAGCTTCTATGTTTGCTATGAATGATCAACTAAAAAGGTTTGAACTAAAAATGAAGGAATGGTAAATGGGTAGCTTTGTTGGCTCAGTTGAAATGCGGTCAGCTGAGCATGTTGCTAGCAGAAAACTATCATACATAAATTTCCTTCTGAGTTGAAAACAAACCTTTTAACTAGCAAAAGGCCTAAAAGGCTCTCTTGTAGAACACCACAGTGAGTTGGCAGTCTGTCTGAAACATTCCATTGCACTTGAAATGAAGACTTGGGTAGTTTGTGCAATCTATTTTGTCTTGTGTGCAAACTAATTTACACAGAACACATTTCAATGATCATTTACAGTTGCAGTTAAGAATGACCAAAAAAGCTTAATTTTTTGTTTGATGCAATAAATTGACTTCATTTAATTCTCTTTATAATTAATATTGAGAAAGTTTTATATTGAAATTGGATATTGGTCCTGAAACCTTTTTATGCCTGCTTCATTTACCAAACAGGATAGATATACTTTGTTGTGTAATGATGAAATATCTGTAAGAGAGGGTGATAGCTCATGACACATAATTATCAGTTTTAAAAATCCCTCGTATTTGTCTCACAGAATCAGACAGGTTGGGCAACATTACTCCATCGTTTTATTAAGGGTGGAGGCAGCATTTTAGACATTGAATTCATGACAGATGAAAATGGTGAGTTGAACATCATCAAGCCCTTTTGAGGACCCTTTCATTTTGTGTACAATCTCTTGAGCTTTGGTACTGCACTTGCACCAATATTATTTGTCCACCAGCCCTCTTCGTATTTTCCTACCTATATTACTATTTATTACTAATATTACTATTTATTCAATGCTCAAATGTTCTTATCTTCCTGTACCAATTCTAGCATTCAAAACATTTAAAATCTTTCAGGTTCTTGTTCAAGAAAGGTTATGGTCACTTTAGAAAAGACATAGAATTCTTGAAAATCAATAAATTATTGCAAGAAGGGGGATGGAGAAGGGAGAAAATTTAAGTGAATTCAGAAAGGTTCTTGTGATTGGAATATCAATTGATACCTTTTGCTCCATTTTTCTTGGAAGACTCCTTGGGATTTTCTTGCTTTTTTCCCCTTAATTGCGTATAAATTTTGTGAAGTCAAGATGATTTAAAGTTTGAATTATTGTTTGTTAAGGTAGAAGAGTTGTGGCGGAATTTAGTGGAATGGCAGGACTTGGTGGAATGGGACTAGGAATACTTGCTTGGTGCCATCAACAGTTGAGGTATGAGGTACAAAAGGTAATCTAGTCTTAAAAGATAACTTTTTAAAGGTCATGTTTAAGTTTACTTTCATTATCAACAGTCCTGATAAGCCAATGGGTGAGGTGAAACCATATGGTAATGAAGCTGCTTTCATTGATCACATTACACTACAAATCAAACAAGTTGCTGAATTAAAAGGTATTTATAGTGTGAATAAACAGTCATCCCTCTTCACACCTCAATTCTGATTCTCTACAGAAAATGAGCTAAAAAATTGGTGGTGCCATCCACTTATGTGACAGAATTCAATAGTGTTAACCATCAGTTAAATGAGGATCCAGGTTGTTTTACTTTTTAGGTCATTGGTTGGAACAAAGTTGGTGACAAGTTGGAGCAACTGGTATCTGTTGCAGACTGCTTTATGTGTTCTGCTTCCTAAACACACCACTGTAGTTCATTCTACTGGAATTACAGATCATGTTTTATTTCTCTTAGGAGGAGTAAAAATGTTGAACTTATTACATTGGTACTTCAGATAACATATACTCAGGTGACCTCTTGCTCATCGAATGTACCACCCAATTTGGAAGGTTATCAAATATATTGCTGCCAGATTAAGTGTGTGAAGAGGGATATGTCTGTTTGTGTTGTTGTAAGTCTACATTCCAAGCAAAATTAAGCACACATGCTTCACCTTGGATAAAAAGAATATTGTTGTATGATTGCTTGTCATTCTTCATAATAGGTGTCCAAAAAGTTTTCCCTCGAATTATGGTGATTGGTGCCTTGGGTCGCTGTGGAAGAGGAGCATTAGAGATTGCCTATAAACTGGGTATTCCGAAGTGAGATCTTGATTTAATATTACATTACAGAATATTGTCAATAAGCTCCAAGCAGTTGGATAATGAACAACTTATTAGATGTTTTGTTGTATAGTATTGGTGTGCATGTTTGTAGTTTGACTGGCCCTGTGGGCACAACTCATAAGAATTCTTAGCAATACTGCACACCAAAATGTCCATTATATATATATACTATAGGGTTATTACCACATTACACCAATAGTCAAATGAATAACCCTAGACCTAAATGCATAATTGAATGAATGAGTATTAGATTCATAGAAATTGATGCAACCATGATTAATTCTTTATGAATTTGTTGGATTGCTAGCCAAGATAATTTTCAAGGGATGATTTTGAGTTAACTGTTAAAGTTAGTGATTTAATGAAAGATAAATGAACATTGAGTTTGATCTGCAAAAACATTAAGAATCTGATTATTCCCACTATGGATCTCACTGGCAGGTCTTCTATAGCAGAATGGGACTTGGAAGAAACAAAGGCTGGAGGACCATTTGATGAGATACTAAACAATGATATACTTGTTAACTGTATTCTTCTCACTGAGGTATGGCTCATTAAATTCAATTCAAAGAAACATTCACACAAAAACAGATGTGTTTCTGAAGTAAATGATATTTTGACTTATTGTTAAGGTTTATAAAGAGATAAGTTTGTTCTTCAAAGGTTAGCTGAATTGTAAGTCATTTCTGGGAGAAAAGTCTGAAAATTTTTAGATGGGAAGTGAACTTTTGCCTCTAAGATACTCATTGGGTGTGATTATCTACTGAGCTAGGAAGCCACACATGTAAAATAGGCCATTTTACAGTTGTGTACTTAGTTGCCAAGCCGTTGATTTGGAGTGAGGCTGAAGGTGACTTTGTTGTGATAGAGACCAGTATCTAGTTAGCATGATAACAAAGTAATTTGCATTTGAAAAGCAACTAGGTTTGTATCATAACAAGGTCAACCTTAGCCTCACTCCTGCTCAAAGGCTTGGCAACCAAGCACACAACTGTGCTCTCAACATGTATATTTTAATAGCTCAAGTGGCGGTGGCATCCAGTTAGTGTCATGCAGTTAGGCAAAGGTTTCCTTTCTTTCATTGTAGTTAGTAATTTGTCACTTTTTAGAACATGTTATGTTACTTTTATCAAACACATTTGAAAAGACAGCCCTGATGAGATGCTGATCATAACAATGTACTTTAAAAGCAAGCTTATTTCTTGTAAAATTGTCTTTTTTTTTTTCTAAAACTACCTCACACTGTATTTTTCTGGCACATCTTGTCAAGTTTTAGAAAAGACTCATTTTAACATAAATGTCGTCACCAGTATTTTTGAAAATGTTAGCTCTCAGTCCAAGCTTCAACAAGTGGTCAGATTACTCCAGGTTATATAGAGAAATTTTTCCAGATATTGATTGTTGGATATGAGTATACCTGCTGAAATATTTCTTCGCAAGTGTTTTATAGAGAGGATCAGAATTATGACAATTATAGTACTTGTGAAATTGGGAATAAGAAATTTTGTAAATGAAACTTTGCAATTTCTTCTCTAGGAAATTCCACCATTTCTCACAAAGGAAATGTTAGAGAGAGCAAATAGGTAGTATATGCTTTTGCCTCTTTGTATGAGATGTAGGCCTCAATCTGGGATGGTTTATCCTATTACTGAACTATTCTTTTATTTTTTTGTTAGCCCATGTACAGGTAATCTTTTTCCATTTTCATGATAAACCCTTGACACTCAAATGTTGGTGTGCATATTTTCCATACTGTTCCTTAATATACTTTTCCTAAGGTGCAGACATAGAGAATTTATTTAACAATCAAAAGCTGCTTAAGTTAGTGATCATTTCCTTATGATAATGTGAGGAGAAATTGGACAGTCAGGCAGCTTGGTACCCATTTATAATCCTGGGTGGAGAGAGGAATGGTGGGATTTAGGTACATGTTTTCATCAAAACACAACTGTCACAGCCAGATCAAATCTTGACCTGGAATCCTGCATACTAGCCATGGAGCCACTATGTCTTGTTAAAGCAATTCACAGTATTATTTTATTTCCAGGAACCTGAGTGTGGTGGTTGATGTTAGTTGTGATCCCAATAATCCATACAATCCTTTGCCTTTCTACAATTCGATAACGTCATTTGATAAGCCCTGTGGCAGAATAAGGTTAAGGTAGGTTATCAAAACCTTATTTTTTTTTTGTATAACATTAACACATGCCAAAAAAAAAAAAAGAAAAGGCAGTAAGATTTCAGGCCTTTTTTTCCAATTGAAACAGTGGTTTTTCAGAATGTTATTTTGTCTTATTGTGAGAAACATAGATCTATATTGCTTTTTCAGGTACACTTTGTACTTGGCTGTAAATAATTAGCTCTTGCTGGAAAATTGAAACATTTCTTGATGTAAAATTAGACTATCTGCAGTAATTTTAACATTGGGTTATGATGATCTTTTCAAATACTTTGCCATCTGTGTTGTCTCTATGCCATACACTGATTGGCTCAGTTGAAAGTTTTTGGAATCATGTTCCTTTCTGTTGATGAGATTGGTGTGTAAGTGACCTCAGTAACTGTTATTGCATTGTTAAAGCTTTACAATTTTGCAGTTCCTTCTCTGTTAATTTTTTTACATTATTTTCTTTTCAGATGTGCTAAGCCACTTGATGTGATAGCTATAGATCACTTGCCTTCTGTTTTACCTCGTGATAGTAGTCAGAGATTTGCCAATAAGATGACTCCTTATTTGCTGAAATTAGGTGATGTAAGTATATACAATAACTCAGTGTTGATCTTGTCAGTGATTTAAGGTTGTAACAAATCGATACTAGGTAGAATGCTTGTATCCCCTCCTGATACCACCCCTCTAGAATTCCAGTTTTGCTTCAGAAATGCCCCCACTCCCCCCTGCCTTCCTCCTCTGGAATTTTCAATCTCTTCTCTTAAGGGTGATGTTGCTATTTCCTTTCACTAAACAATAATTACCAGCAGATTTATTTAAAGCACAAATCTTTAATTGAATTGTAGGATCCTGTATGGAACAGAACCAAGAAAATGTTTGACCAAAAAGCTGCAGAAGCAAAAGCACTTATCGATTCTGGTGTGCTCCATTAAAATTTAAGGAATCTTGACAAGATAGAAATGGATTGATCTGGAAGCAAAATGGGAGTAAGGAGTGGTTAGTTAGATCATTTTAAATATTCAGAGGTTTTAAATTTCCAATTCTTATTCATAAATTATACATTGCCTAATATGCCTTACAAATGTGGGGATTGTGAGAATGATTCTTAAGGCAGAATTATTATCAAGTAACCTTTCTGACTTTCATTTCTCTAAACTTCTACTAAAATATTAGAAATTATTTTACAATTTTAAAATCACCTGTCTTTTAAATTTTATTTTAAGCAGCCTAGGTGTACTAATGTTAAGAGGTGACATGATTAACTTCCTGGTGCATGCAATTGTTTAGACTGACCATGGTCTTGTAATCTTTTCATGTCATAAAGCATCTTTATTCATAACTGATGGAGTGAAATTTAAGAACTGCAGAGTAGTTTGTTTCCCATTATATCAAATTAATTTAATCAGTTATGTGGCTGGACCATGCAGCTGGGTTCAGGTGAATTTTTATCATTTGATTTGAGCATAAGCTCTTAGCTGCTGATATCAACAGCCTATTTGTACATTATTAATATCTTATCTGAAAAAAATTGTATTTATCACTGATGGAGGACCTCTTTTCTAGTAAGGGAATATTTTTATACTCATGCAGTGTATATTGAATTATTAAGCTACTGCAGAAGCTTATATTGAGTCAGTCTTCTATTTGAATTTTACAGTATCCTAAATCACAAAGAAGTACTCAAACACTGAAATTCTATCAAATTTGAAATTTCAGGTATACATAAGTGCATAAATGGAGATCTTAGTCAAATTATTATTTTATTTTTTTAACTTAAATTGAAAAATAATGAAGGCTCAGAAAAAGGGGGTTTGAGGTTTTGTTCATCTACAAATGACAAACAATAATAACAAAAACAACAAAAAAAAGTGGTTTTGAATGAAATGTGATTCTGTATCTTTTTTTTTTTCACTTGTGCTGACACCTTCTCTTTTATTTCAAGTTAATTTCTCAGTTTTTACATGTTCACACATTCACTCTGAGTTCTGTTTATGTCTATATGTCTTGGCAATGCAAAAATAAAAAGGTTAAAACTTTAAAAATGTCCCAACTACCCTAATTGCTTCCAGCATAGGACAAGTGATGGATTGCAAATACGTGAAAACGGGAATCTAAACATGTGACACTAATAAGCCAAAGAGGGCTTGTAACAAAAATGTATGTTTGATGTTTTCCTTATACCTTACTGGCGGTTGTTTGAAACCAGTTTATTTCACAGAATATTCCACTCTTTTGTCTCAGAGGTGAATGTATTTTTGTGTGTTGAGTAACATATGCACAAGCTGACATTGGCAATTGTTACAGAGGAATTTTGTCTCCAAAAAAAAATAGATAAAAAATAGAAAACTGATATCCAATGGTTTTGTCACAAGGCTATTTTGTTTAGGGTATTGAGAAAATCAATTAAATCTAACAGCAGTTGTCTTGAATTCCAAGGTTTGTTATTTAGCTTTTCAAACCATTCTCTTAGTAAATTGTCAGCCTCATCATTTCCAGTTAAAAGGTGACTTTCAAAAATAGGTGATGAGCTTAATTCATACCTAGGCTTGTGAGAATCGGGGGTGAAAAAGAACTTGTCTCCCTGTTCAGAATGATAAAATGGACTTAAATTTGTAACATTTTCTATGTAAAGAGTTCCTGGAAAGCAGTGCATAGAAATGGCAGCATCATAACTTGATTCATCATCAGAAATCATGCATTCCTGTAGAATAAAAAAGATTTCTAAAACTCGAACTGGAACCATGCTGTCTGTCCAATGGGAGTCTTCTTTGTAGTTCTTGAACATAAACAGGAGTATGTTTTTTAGGTGGTAAGATCTAACAAGCCGGTGACAGCATCTTTTGCATCCAAAGATTTTACTCAGCTTTGGAAGGAAAGCTGACAGGATGCATTTTGCAATGCAGTAGGCTTTAATACGCCCATCTTTTGGTGGGCGGGACTGAAAATAAGAGAGCTCCAGGTATGGAGCAGTGATTCTTGAAGAAATGGCTTGAAAAGCATTGTCTTCCTTACCAAGAATTGCATACAATTTTAGTGGAGATTGCTCCACGATGCTAGTAATGTATCTAAACAACAACGCTTGAACAGTGAAGTAGTCGGTGAAATGTGGACTTGCATCATCTGGAATGGACAGAGCCCCTTTAAAATCATCAGCCCTTATTGGCACACACAGACACAAGTCAATGTCTACGTCTAAGCTGACCTTGTCGCAGGTCAAATGCATTGTTGTAGCGATACCAGACCAACATAGTGTTTCACTACCAGTTGTGACGCGTTTCCAACCCGGTGGTAAGCGTGAATCAAATATCTTTATGAACATTTCCATAAACTTAGAACGCAGAGAGAAATCGAGGACATCAATCGTCCCTGAACGAACCAGGCATTCAGACGGAAGCAAACCCACAACTGCTGGGTCCTTCACGAATATCCTAACTGAATCCTTTCTGACAACTGTTTGAAAGAATTCCGTGTTGGCAAAATACTCCATGACAATGAGGAAGTCAAACTCATCAGGGGCCTCTATTTTCGTTTTCTCAGCTACACTTCCGGCTTGAACAAGTTGACATCTTTCGAAGCATTTGTAAGACTTTCCAAGCTCGTCTAAGCTGTCTTTCAACGTAGTTGTTATTTCATGTAGTATTTGGGAACTTCTTCGTTCATTATGAATGTCCAGTTGGTGAGGAAAACTTTGGAGAAATGAATTCAGCACCGGACCAACTGAAACTGGAATTTTGTGCACTGAAGAAGCTTTTGTGTCGGTATGTTCTTTGGTGTTATCTGCGAATCCCCATTTTTCATATGGCCAATCAGGGATTATCACGTTTAAAGGATAGACCTCGCTTTGTAACTCAGACTCCTCTTTCGACGCCATTTCACAAACAGACCAAGGAGAGAGAAAAGCAACTTGAGGAGAGCACGACCTTTGTATTTCGTCTTGTCACGCAATAGCCTTGATCTCTAAGTGAGCGTTGCATGACCGGAGGGGGGAAAACAAATTGACATACCGAAGTCACGAACGTGATTCTTTACCTCTAACCCAAAGGTATGCGAAACCAACCTGAAAATATTTCAACGCCTTTATTTTAATAAAAAGTAGTATTCTGGCAAGGAGAGGATGATCACAATGATCTTTCAGGAGCTTGGCCCCCTTCGGAACTAACAAGTTTTGAATCAGAAGCTACCTGTGGAAGGAGTGATCTTTGAGCTGCAGTCTTTTTAAGGCGTAATCACTAAAACATGGAACGACCTAAAACCACCTACAACCATCTACAACCACCTCAAAAATTTCAACAACCACCTAAAACCACCTCAAAAACATCTACGGCGAGACAACAACATGCCTCGTACATGAAATACGAGAATCGAACGACACTTCCACTTCCCCCTGAAATCTTACTCTCCCTGGTCCCATGTATAATCAACCATCTCACGAAATGAAATGCGATAGCATGCTAATTATTTTATATTCACTCAGGAGCAAAAGACTTTTACAAAATTAACTATCAATTTACAAAAAATAATAAAGTAAAATAACAAACTGGTAGTTAAGACTGACTTGACTTGGCTTTTTCTACCCTGGGTACCAGCAGACGTTTTGGCTTACGTCTAGAAAAAGTATGAGTAACAATGGTCATTAAAAATATTTTAAGCGAACTGTGCGTACCTTCGGATCTTTCTTTGGCACGAACGCCATCATGCTGGCATTCATACAGCATACAGTTGTACGAGTGGTGCCACTTACGCAATAGTGACTCGCGTTTGCTCCAATTACATTTCCAGCGCTGAGATTATACATGGAGAAAAACACTACCTTGGACCATTACGTCAAATGAAACGAGAGCCAAAACGTTTGCTTGTAAAGTTCTTTAAGTCTTTTACTACTTAGGTAATAAAAACTATAATTGGCTTGCTCTCGCATTTCATTTCGTGAGATGGTTGATTATACATGGGATCAGGGAGAGTAAAAATTCAGTGGGAGGTGGAGATTTTGTTCGATTCTCGTATTTCATGTACGTGACATGTTGTCGTTTCGCCTTATTTTTTGACATTTATGCCTTGTTTTAGATGGTTTTTCAGATAGTTTGCGAGTGGCTGTAGATGTTTTTGAGGTGGTTGTTGAAATTTTTGAGGTTGTAGGTGGTTTCAGGTGGTTTCAGGTGGTTTTAGGTCGTTCCATGTTTTAGTACTTACCCTTTTTAAGGGGCCTAAGGAAAAATTTCTCAAGAAAATTGGGCGAAGTATAACAGCGGGGCATTCATCGGGGCATTCACTACTTAGGTCGTTTTCTTGATCCAGTCTTTACTTGTGTTAGTATGTGTTGACACGGGAGTGGAACTGTCAACCTTGAACGTGCAAGTAGTCATGGCTGTACATCTGTGGCTTCGAGCAGAGAAGAAACCGAACGAGAGGCGAACTCACCTTACTCCAGAGAAATGCAAAGAGCTGGTGAAGGCAGGTGAGTCTTAGCAGTTTTCTTCCCCTTTTTTTCGATGGATAATTTTGGCCTTTGGTACTTAATGTTTGAAACTAGAGGTTAACCTCGCAATTTGTAATTATGTAGAATTACACAGCTCATCTGCAGGTATTCAGTCGTTTCGTACCCATGGATCTTTCGTACCCAGATGATTCGTACCCAGGCTCAGACGTTTCGTACCCACTTTCAATCAGTTCGTACCCAACCCTCTGGTTGATTCGTACCCAACAAATTATGACACAAAATGTTTAAAACAAACATAAACATTTATTTCATTTTTCCTAGTAATCGCTGGGGATGGGGGTGGGGTGGGGTGGGGGAAGGGGTCATGGTGATGGAGCAAGTCTGGGTATAAGAAAACACCTGAGTGAAATATTGTAAATATTATACTGTGACGCAACACTACTTTACCTTTTTGGTCAAGGTTTTAAATTGACTGTGGAACTCTCAGAGCAGTGCATATTCAAGGATGAGGAATATGCAAGGTAAATAAATATGAACATGACCATCATTTAATTTTGTTTTTGTAGAAAAAAATAACATGGCAAGAGAATGTTTTAAAAAACATTGTGTTTTTTACTCTAATTGTTTAATTGCTGTTAATTTTACAAACTTCTTGTATACAGTATTTCTGGTGTGGAGATGGCCTCTACTGGTTCTTGGCCAAGTGCTCCTAAAGAGGCCTTTATTGTTGGGTTGAAAGAACTCCCTGAGAGTGAGGACCCTGTCATTCATAGGCACATCTTTTATGCCCATGCTTATAAGGTGGGACCTTGGCTATTCTATATGAGAATTAAACCCTTCATACTCCAACATCAGTATATGTGTTCTTGATACTGTTATCTATACATTTCCTACAAGCAAAACATGAAGAATTTGTTTAACAATCAAGAGCCTCTTGAGATGGAAACTGTTTACTGTTTGTTCTCACGACTTTGATATACTGTTAGGAGAAATGAGATGCTGGTCACAATTTGTAGTAACTGTAATACCAATTCTATCATAGACCAATGAGCTCCCTCACAGATCAGAATTTTGGAAAGTTTTCCTGGTGTTTAAAAGTGTTTGATTTTTCCTTTTATTTCTATATAGAACCAAACAGGGTGGGCAGAGCTACTTCACAGATTTGTGAAAGGAGGAGGTAGCATCTATGACATTGAATTTATGACGGATGACAGTGGTAAGATAATAGAACATACATATTAACCCTTTACACCCTAACATCAATATACATATTCTCCATACTGTTCTCTACACATTTCCTAACGTGCTGACAAGGAGAATTTATTTAAAAATCAAGAGCTTTTTAGGTTGGTAATAATTTCCTGGGGGTGATACTGCAGGGAGAGGTGTGATGCTAGCCACTCTTTAAGGGTCTATGATAGTGTGGATTTGAACTGCGGTCCACAATGCTTTATTTCCCTAAGTAAAAACTTGTTGTCGCTTTTTTGTTTAGGTAAATGTGTAGTTCCTGTCTTCTCAACCATGGCTGGTCTATGTGGAATGGCTGTTGGCGTCATAGCATGGTGTCATCAGCAATTGAAGTAAGTTCTTAATATACTGGCAGAATGTAACAGTGAATCTGCAAACTTTTCTATTCAGTCAAGGATATGATATTTTTTGTGTATGTGTCTTCCAGCATTCTCATAGAGAATTCAGCCATAGCAAAGGATGTATGAATATTTCTCAATACATTCAAAAAGTCTCTAAGGGGATTTTTTAGAGTTTACCAAGATTTCCCTTCAGTGGAGTAAATCTGTTTACAAAGCCTCTTTATCATTAGAAAATTTGAAAGGATTTTGGAGTGCAGAGTATCAACTTGATGACCTCAGAAATCTTGAATTTTCACCTAATGTCAGCAGTTTAGTACATTGAAAAATTAAAACTTAGAAATGACACTTCATGGATCTTCTCTTCATCTTCATTTCACCTAAAGGTTATAAATATTCCTTCCCTTCTCGAGACATTATTTTTGTACACAAAGAATCACAAACCTCTCCTAATGAGGAAGGAAGTTAATTTTATTTATCATTATCATTACATGACATGATCATTATTATTAATTATAGAAAGGTAAAATTATTACTAAAGCATGGTATATTAATAACACTTTACTTGTACGCATTATTTATACTTCATCAAATTCTTCAAATCTGTGAGTAAGTTATGAGGCACCATCATTTGTTGTTGTTGTTGTTTTTAATTCCCAGTCCAGATGTTGCTCTTCCATCTGTTTCTGCATTTGATGATGGAGACCAAATGTTGGCATTTGTGAAATCCAAATTAAAAGAAATTGCCAAAAAGAAAGGTATAGCTGATCTGGCTATGCATGAGCAACTTGAGGAACAACATGGTGTCATTATCATGTGAAATGGTGAAGGGTTTATTTTGTTTCTAATGAATGAAAGTAATTGCACAGAACACCATCAAAAAATGGAGATTTTTGCTTTGGTTATTTCTTAAAATGAAAGGTAGATCAGCAGAAATAACAGGGGAATGGTTTCCATTTCTTCATAACACACTTGAGAATAGGTTTGCAAATTTGATCGAAGGTGAAACAATTGTCATAAAGATAAAAGGTCTTTTCCACTTAGCCCTTTGTTATAGATGTAATGTCATTTATGAAAGAAGAATAAGAAGCTTACCTAAGTTAGTCAGCCTTAGTATCATTAGTGACTAATGCAATGGAATATTCAGGTGTTCCAGAAGTGTTTCCACGGATCTTTGTGATTGGTGCTCTGGGTCGTTGTGGTAAAGGTGCAGTTGAGATGGCTCACAAAATAGGTGTTCCAAAGTAAGTTTTGAATTAATTGTAAATTCAAAAAATTGCTCAAGCTGTCTAAGATAATATTGAAATTACTTAGAACTTCAAAAAATTTGCTAGATATTCCTTTGGCTACTTTAATTCTACACTCTTTGGCCATTTTAGGGCTTAATCTTGTATATCCAAATGCTTACAGTGGATGAATTTGTAGCTATAATGGGGTTCTCCCCTTCCCTTATAAGAGAAAGGTGTGGTCCATTATAATGTCTCCAGCAACCCCCTCTAAAGGTCACTTTCCATTGTTATTTTAGCAAATTTGCTCTTTAAGGTCAAATATAACAGAGTGGAGCACTGCAGAGACTAAAGGAAAAGGACCCTTTGTAGAGATTTTGGAGTACAATATCTTTGTTAACTGCATTCTCCTCAATGAGGTACAAACGTGTTTACTCAGATACCGATGGGTCAAAATTGGATTATTAATAAAAAGTGCTGAACTGTGAAAGCTGGCAGTTCTCAGGAATTGCCATTGCAAAAGTCTGGACCGTAGGAAAAGCTTACTAGAAACAGTTAGTGACTCCTGAAATCTGTAGGGTCAATCATTTTAAAAGGTGCTGTATTGAATTATTATGTGAAATGAAACATCTCCAGAAGTGAAACATCTCTAGAAGTGATTTCAAACCTTTTAGGATTTTTCACTTTTATAAGCATATGACATTGTTCTGTATATTTTTATAGTATTACAGAAGTTAATTTTCCATATTCTAATATTCATGCAAAGGAACTTTTTAACTAACAAATGCAAATTGTTATTAAAACATTTCTATTGATAAGAACTGTAACAATTACTTGACATTTATTTTGTTAATCATGTATTTCGTTGGAATTTGCGTAGAAAATTCCTCCATTCTTGACAAAGGAGATGCTGGACACGGATGAAAGGTTTATTTCTTCATTCATTTTAATATTACAGCTTTATGAGGGTTCCATGAATTATCGTTTGGAATACAGCTTTAATTAAACAATAGTAGTGCCAAACCCCCGGCAAACCTCTCCCAGACTCGTTTTAAATCTTCCCACGGGCGGAGAGACGTGCATCCTAATAATGAGGGCATGCTCGTGGGCTACTATGCAAATGATTGTGGCGGAATATGGCGGTTCTAAGCACCCGTTTCCTGATTTCGCTCCTTTAAAATGTTTTTCTTGTATGATTTATAAGTTAGAGCTTAACAGTAAATAACGGTAAACAAAACTGAACAATGTCTAAAATGTGATCGGGCGCGAATTTTGAGAATTGGATTATTTTCTACGACATATTCATATATTTCTTTTGAAATGTTAGCATATTACTGAGGTTATGTTCATTTTCATCCTTTGTTTCACTTTGGAATCAGATCACTGAGTATAGTGGTGGATATCAGCTGTGACCCAAACAGTCCTAACAACCCACTACCCTTCTATGATGCCTGCACATCATTTAAACAGCCTTCCGTAAGAGTCAGTCTCCCGTAAGTACATAATGATTGCGCGAAAAAGAGTTGATGTAGAATTGTTTTCTACGGATTGCATTTTTGGCGTTTTTCTTCGCTGCTTCTGTGATGGTAGTATGAGGACATAACACTCATACGAGACATTCAATGTGAAAAGTTTATTTAGGATGAGTCAGTCTTCTAGTATACGGATTCTGATACAATCTTAACATGTGCACCCTGAAACAAGGGGTTCTACAAAAAGAACCTTTGTTACGTCAGATACGAAAACCACTAAAAAAATTCTCTTTGGGTGTGGTCAAGTTTTGTGTGAAAACGTATTCCTCGTCTTATGCAGCAGCACAATACCCTGAGGAAAGGGTAAACTAACCTGGTTGCACTACTAATCACAAAGAGAAATCAATGATTGTAATGATATTTTACAGGCAGTTGGAATATTAAAATTACAACAAATACGAAAAAAATGGTCAAACATAAGACTGACCAACTTACAATGACTTAATTTCCCGCGAAACGCTTAAATCATCCGAAACCTCCATGATGCCACGCGAACCTCCTCAACGTGCCATCAGAATATTAATTTCTGGCTAAGTCGTTCCCATGTCACTCAACCGTCAGAAATTACATTTGGAAATCGTTATTTCATTGGACCCATGCGAATAGTGAAGAACCATGTTCATCATTCGCTGTTTAGCGAGCAGTGATGGCCGCATTCCCACAAGAGAGAGAAAGTAACCATATTTTAGAAAAAGCAGACCTTTATCTTTCTGTTCCTTTTCTTAAATAATTAAGAGTGACCCTTACAACCATACGATACTCTATCCTTTGGAATCCTTTAACGAAATGCGCTCTACCGTGAGGAGCCCATATCACTCAAAAGCCATTACATAATAATGGCATCATTATGAAGCCAGTGGCTGAGTCGCGATTGGCTGGCTGAAGTGTTCCACATGATTGGCGGAGAAGGTGGCGTGAGTTTTCTCGACCAATCACAGAGCGAAGCATGGCAAAAATTAAGTAATCCCGGTTTGTATTGGTTTTACTTTACTCTGCTCTGTGAAAAAAACTTGCGTCGCACTCTCAACCAATCACATTGAAAGCCAATATCAGTCGCTACCTGATCACTTGCGCTCCCAGCACTTCAAGCATTGAGTCCAGGTTTTTGCTGAAAGTTCTCATCGGTTCCTCGTGATAATTACCTTGTTTCTGATAAGGCCTTGTGCTAACTTCAACTTTGATTTTACAACACCTAATTGAAACGAGTTATGAGAATCGTTCTTACGCTTGGCCTATGGAGCAAACGTTGTTTCACAAGATCTTCCACTGACTTCTAGCAAGGTGTAACACTCTCCTGTAGACTTGTAAAGGTAATCTTGATCCACTTCAGCTCAGTAGTTATAATGGTGAACTTTAAATTGATCGTAAAACGTAAGGTTTTTATTTTATTTTATTTTCAGCAAATTATAATTTACAGTTCCCTCGGAACCTATAGACCCTATATAGCAGAATATATACTAATTTGTTCGGTTGCGTATGTCTTCCTTAACTTAGCGTATATGCATTTGCATTACAGGAAGTCGTCTAAGCCATTAGATGTTGTAGCTATCGATCATTTCCCTTCACTTCTACCGAGAGAGAGCAGCACAAGATTTGCAAATGATTCAACGCCGCATTTGCTGAAGTTAGATCAGGTAAAACGGCTCGATAAGCGTCTGTTCTTTGATCGGGACCGTCATTAAGTTATTTGGATGGTTTCCAATTTTTTATTTGTCGAATCAGATTTAATATTAACAATTAGCGGCTGTGTAAAATTTTAAATTTTATTCCATTCTCGCTGACTCTTTTATTGGGACTGTCATTAAGTTATTCGAATGGTTTTCTTTTTGTTATTTATCTAATCTATTTTTATTTATCAGAGTCATTATTGATATCTTCATTTCTAAGTACTTCTTATAACTAGCAAACTAAAAAAAACAATTTTATCTGTGTGTCTGGTTTTTTCCGGTCAAATTACTATTTTCATAGCGCAAATCGGATCGCACTCCCTTAGTTGAATTCTTATGACTCTCGCCGTATATATACAGGATGTTTCGCAATCTTCGAGGAGAGCTATGCTCCAGAGGCCGTGTAATTTAGATCTCCTTCATTACAAAGTACTTACCGCGTTTGAGTTTGCAAAGAGTAAGCCAGCCTTTTCCAAATGTGCTAAAAATTCGATTTCGTGCGCCGCCATTTTGAAAACAACTTTATAAACAACTTTATTAAGTGGCTTTATTCTTGTGATACAATGAAATAACTCAACTATCATTTGTTTCTCTGTTGATAGGTTGATACGTACTGTGTGTGGGTGAATGCCAAAAAAATATTTGACCTGAAAGCAGCTGAAGCAGAGGATTTACTCTCACGATCTGGAAATTAAAGACTGAACTTCATTCCCGTAGATTTGAATGGAAATTAGCTGTTGTTTGGTCTTAGTTTAGTGAGACGAATGAGCATCGTTTTTCTACTGATGAACGGAAGAGTGATTGAGAATGAAACATGACAATTTTGTCATTGACCTTGTTAAACAGAGGAAAGTGATTATTGTAGCTCGTGTTATGGCGGGGAGGAAGGAGTTTTATGTGAGGCACTTTTTCCAAGGTATAACATCTTAAAGTTTCAAAATAAGATGCAGTGAGAACATCAGTTTGTAGAATTTTCGCGGTAGAATTTGTATTTTCTCCATAGCGAAAAAAGCTGTCAAGGGTTGTCTGCCAGAAACTGAGTTGACAAGCATTTGCTACAACTTTATTCACCCGATCATTCACTGGCTGGTGCCGTTGCGGAGAGGCGATCGATGTAAAGACTGATAGACCAAAAGTGAACGATACGGCTATGTTCATCATTTTCCGAATAAATCATTTGGGGCCCCTGTACTTAGGCAGATGACTGAGTACAAAATATGGGAATATTGAGCCGTTTTCGTTTCAAAGTTGTTAAGCAACTCAGGAGATCTCGCTACGTGCGAAGCAACGACAACTTTGATATCGCAAATATGAGCCCTTCAAAACAAAATAGCAAAGTATCTTAAAAAACACTCTAGTATCGTGTTTGTATTACACTTGTGGCTCTAGAGTGAGTTCACTTCAGTATATTACTGTCAATTCGTCATCCTTGAACGTTATTATTTACCAAGATATGAGCATTATTGACCGAGTGTTTAAGTTATATTAGCTAGATGTTTCCAAGTTTTCTTGAAAGTAACCGAGTTAATTTTTTGTAAATTACCGGTGTAATAGGCACTTAGTCTTCGTTTTGCTAAAATATTGGTATAATGTAAGTTGATTCTCCGCCTCCGGAAGAGCCCTTTCTACAATGAATTGATTCTTCAGAGACCGATTGCTTACAACTTGAAATGACACTTTAAACTTGCAACAAAATAGCAGCTGATCGGAGGAAAAATGTGAGGCTAACGTGTGGGTGGTCCCAGGTCAGTACTGTTGGTTCCTTGCCTTTTCCCGCGCGTTTCGCAGTTGGCTTGTTTCCATTTTGCATTTCATTGGCTCCCTGTGATATATGTTTATCTTCTGATTGGCTGTTGCGATTACTTCAGCTCTACAAAAATTCGCTCTATACTACGCGGATGAGACGAAAGACCGAAGCAGCTGACTATGATTGCAAACTCTATAAACGTAGGGTTACCCGTTTCTTCAGAGACTATATACTTACTGAATTCTTTCGTTTCTTTCTTGTTGTTACCAATTTTGCTGAAATATGCACTATGGGAAAGTTTTGGGCGCTCTCAGCGTCAAGTAAACTTTTTTCAAGATCTGCGGCTCGGATTTTCGAACTAGAAGAACTTTTAGAAAACATGGTGGACCACGAAGACACAGCGCGTGATTAAAGAGTTTTCAGTGTTGTTTGGTATTTACATGCTCCGGCCTATGAACGAAAGAGTGCTTGATCGCTGGAACCTGCGTAAGCTTAGCGCCAAAATATCCCATCATTCCTCGGGGCTGTACTGGTTGCTCGCTTGTCTTGCATCACACCAGTTGAGACTCTCAAATGTTTATGAATTTTTGGGAAATTACCTCCTTTGTGGTGGAAAATTTTCTGTTTCGTCAATGTGTGAAAGTCACGAATAGTATCCTTATTCGGTCTTTGCCTTACTCTATCAAATCATAATGGTTGTTCACCTGTGGTTACGATCGGAACCGAAGGCAAATGAACGCCGGTCGGCGCTCTCACCTGAGAAATGTAAAGATCTTTTGTCAGCAGGTAAAATGCGTTCGTTCTGATTTCTTTTTACATTTTTGTTTCATCCCGTGGTGTGTGATTGCGAACTTAATCCTTGTGTTGTTAAATAAAAATTTACACTGATTTTTTGGTGGCCGGCCAGAAAGTTGACATCTTGTGATGACTTCATAATTTAATTTGCAAGTTGAAGATGTGCATAGCAGATGTCTTCAGAAAGAAACCTTAAGACAGTTTTCTTGGATAAAAATTGGGAACCTGATGTAATTTTCTTCCATGTTAACATATTTAAAATGTACTCTTTCTATTTTTCAGGATTTAAGGTTACTGTTGAATGTTCCAGAGACAGGGTTTTTAAAGATGAAGAGTATGCAAGGTAGGAATGGACTGGTGTGAAGAAGGAGTACACGTGATCTTGTCGTGAGATCATAAAGTGATCTACTCATTGAGTATGTGGGAGGCTTCTTTCCAGACTGACTCATGTTAGTCTTCCTGGCTTTACAAACATGAGCTCTCACTACTATGGTTTTCTATAAAATAGTGTTAGCATAACACAGTTTGGGTTATAAACACACAATTAAAAAAAAGCGAAGTGGGTAAGTAAACAACCTCAGGTTATGATTGGACCAGTTATATCAATTAAATGCCATTAGCAAAGGATAACTTGACAATGCTACCTATTCTTGGTACCAACACAGTAATGATTCATTGTTTATAGGATCAGTGGAGTGGATATGGTTCCTGAAGGATCTTGGGTAGATGCCCCAAAAGAGGCTTTTATCTTGGGAATTAAAGAATTAGCAAAATCCTTGACTCCAATACCTCACACACATATTTACTTTGCTCATGCATACAATGTAAGTGAAGAGTAAAGTTATTAATCTTGATTGGACCAAAGTGTACAGTAAGCTAAATTTTGATATAACTTGCTCACATCTAGGAAATATTATTTTTCAGCAATAGGAAAGAGATTAGTATGACTAATTGTCACAACAAAATAATAAAGAACCAACAGATAGTGCCTATTTATCAGACCCTACACTTCAGTTGATGGACAACTATGTTGAGAATGGCTGGCGCAGGATACACAATGCATTGTAGCTATCCATGTAAAGTGATTGTTAAGGAAGTACTTACCAAGGTGGTCCTTAAGTGGATTTGACTCTCTCTTTGACAAGAAAAAGTGAAATTTATTATGATGGAAAATTTTCTGTTCATGCCATGCCAGTTGGTTTACACAAATGATCTAGCATGCTCCCAAATACTGCTGAGATTCAGGTTAACCATGTTACTGGAAAATCCCATGTTGCCAAATTAATTTTGGGTGTCACTTGTTGTAAATGAAGTAATGGTTTTGAAATTGAATTCCTCATATTTTACCCAGTGGTAAAGTTTTGAGGGAGTATATGAATACCTTGACTGGGGATCTTGGACACAAAAAAAGGGTAAGAGGGTCCATAATGCTTTATATTAGCACGTCTGATGTTTTTTTGGTTTATTAATAGAACCAGAATGGTTGGGCTGAAGTTCTTAATCGCTTCATCAAGGGCGGAGGGAGGATACTTGATGTGGAGTACATGACAGATGAATATGGTAAGTGAGTGAAGTTTGGTCTGGAAAGATCAAATTATTCTCTACATTTAATATAGTTGTTCTTGTTGTGTTCTCCATAGTCAAGGAACTCTTGTCAGATACACTTAAAACATGATGGTTTCTTTCCTTCTTTATATAAGTCATCAATACTAAAAGCAAGGTTTCATTGTGCTGTTTTTTACCAAGTAAAGATTGATAGAGTGTTTTCTTTTTTTTTTTTCAGACAGACGAGTAGCAGCGGCTTTTCCTCCTTTGGCTGGTTTTGCAGGAATGGCTGTTGGTATTAGTGCTTGGTGTCATCAACAAACAAGGTACAAATAAAATTTTGACTCTAATATATACTATTCAAGGCCTTGGGTCATCCATTTATCCTTTGGTCAGTGTTTATCTCTTTGGTGGTCATGTCAAATGCGGCCTTTGCATCCACACATAACTTTTATTGGGCAAATTTCCTATTAAGAGAAAGGTGACTCAAGGAATTTGCAGGGTAAAAAATCTATTAGGGTAGATAGTACCTTTGCAAAAACTCCAGTGTAATGATCACCACTGAAATCTTAGCTCTAGCAATCTTCTGGTGTGGATCAGTAGCCAAGTGAACCACAACCCTCACCCTTGGGGTTTCCTTGACATAGGAATATCAGTAACAGGGTACATCAGAGAGTTAGTACCTGCTTATGTTTACATTGGACACAAAGCTTATTGTGGATGTCTTTCTTCCTCAAAACTTCTCAAGGCTCCCTCCAGTTTGTTATGAATCAAATTTTTCCATTACATAAGCAGAAAAACAATTAATGGACTGCACATCATTGAAGGACTCCAAAATGTTAGTCGACGGCAGTTTCTTCCAAAATGGATATAGGATATATCACTTTAATTTACAACACACCAGACAATCTAAGAATAACATGGGAAGATAATTTAATAGAAAGCTCGGCCAAAAACTCTGAAAACCATAAGCTACGTATCAATACAAACACTTTCGTTCAAATCGCCCAACAATGCAACGCGGCCTCTTATGGTATGTTAAGTATGTATGTATGTATGTATTTGTTGCTAGCATCGTAATCTATCTTGCAGGTTTGGGATGAATTGCCATTTTCAATTTCAAGTTTAATAAATGATACAACTGTGAATCTTTTTACTCGTTATGTTAAGTAATAAAATAATTGTCAACGTTTGTGTTAACGTTTCACGGACAAGCTACCGACAAGCTACCGACAGCCTATATTTCAGGCAAAAGTGTCTTGTATTCGACCGACTGTCGGCCGACAGACGGCCAACTGTCGGCCGAGTCATATATATTTTTCCATTACATAAGCAGAAAAACAATTAATGGACTGCACATCATTGAAGGACTTGAGTGCAGCATGGATTGAATTTTTTTTCATACTAGGCTAATTTTGAACTGAGAAAATCAATTCCTCTCACACAAAGTGTTTGTATTGACAGTCATATATATGATATTTTAAGCCCTCAGATTGCCATGCCAGCTATGAAGCCTTACAGCCATGAGTCACTCTTGATAGAAGATCTTAAGATGCAGCTCCAAGATACTGCCAAGACCAAAGGTACTTCCATTACAATATGAGGTTTTCTTTAAAGATAAAAGTAAATTTTAAAGTCTTTTTTCCTAGGACTCCATGAATGCTACCCTCGTGTGATAATCATTGGTGCATTAGGGCGTTGTGGCAAAGGAGCCATAGATTTGGCACAGAAAGCAGGCATACCAAGGTATGAAACAACTAATGTCTGATCATTCTGAATAATAAATATTTCATGTAAGACATAAGCCTAAGGAGGAACTTATAAAAATATTTATTTCATACATAGTTAGATTTACACTGTGAAGTACTGTCATTCGTGTCTCTAATCCTTGGCTTTCTACTTTATAGTGTAAATCTCAATATGAATGAAATTTAAACATCATACTATGTAAAGTGCTTGACCTTTTTTTGTTCACTCATTGCAATGCATCAAAAAAACGCACTCTTTGGCTGTGGTCACTGGTTCTTTTTTTTTTTTCTTTATTTTTGGTTTTTTTTAATGCATCACAACTCATGAAGAAAATCTACTGGTGTGCACTTTCCATGTAATAATCTCTATTTATTCTGAGGATGATGTTTCCTTTACAGCTCATGTATTGCTAAATGGGATATGAAAGAGACCCAGCCAGGTGGACCTTTTGAGGAAATCCTACAGTATGACATATTTGTCAACTGTATCAACTTGATGAAGGTATGTAGTCGGCAATAAGAAAATTAATAGGTATAAGGAAGTTTAAGCCTACAGGTAAGTGTAAATGATATCACATGATCTTAAAGTAGGTCATGTCTGAAATTATTACTACTAGTTTACACTACATTCAACACAGCAGAACAACTCATTCAAAGGGGTGTTGATATGATCAATGTGTTTATTAAGATTTTCTTTCTGTTTGGCAATTGATATAGTTTAAGTGTTTTGCTGAAGTAAAAGGTTCATACATGTACTTCCTCAGGAAAAGAATGTTGGAAATTTTTTGTTGTATCTTTGGCTTTATGTTCTCTTAAGAGCGATGGCTTGGTAATATTGAAGGGAACAGGGAAGGGTTGGAGAAATTTTGCAAGCCTAAAAGATCTTCATGTATGCAGAGGAAAAAAACCACAACAATAACAAATATTAAAACAAAATAAACAAATAGAACAACCCTCAATTAAAAAATTGTGGTTATTTGGTGACACTACACTGTATGATTCATGCAATTATTGTCTGACATACATCGTAGGGCTTTGTGTCGTTTGTCATTCTCTCCACATGTCGAGTAAATTGAACTCTGTCAGACAAACAGAAAAGTAAAGAATGACCCCATCCTATAATGATGCTGTAATTTGAGATGTCATGTTGATTATAAATGAAAAGTGTTAAAGAATTTTCATGCGCCATTTCGTGACCTAAGTCCATTTTCCAAATAGTAGATGTGTAATGGGAGGACAGCTTTTTCAGGAATTTTTTTTCTCATTCATCAAATGTGAAGAAGATATAGCATGAAAGTTATTTCTCCATTTTAGTGTTGTTGTCATGAGTAAACAGCTCTAAACATTAAATATTTGATGCACACTCAAAGAACATTAAGTAAAATACATGCAACAAAAAGTTTATTGAGATCAATGTAGTGGACTATTTGACTGGATTGCTGCAGTTGTACTTGGGAAGTTGTGTTAGGTTGTGCAGCTCTGAAAATCAAGTACCATTGGGGCCAGCTCATGTAGAATGAATGTACACATGCTCGAGAGTGTTCTGTGCTTGACAGCGTTTACTTTGCAGAAAATTCCACCATTTATGACAAGGAAGGTGTTGGACACCGACCAGAGGTGAATTGTATCAGCACAGCGTTCTCAAGAGTGTTTTTACCTCACTAAGGCTTTTTCCATACAGGAATTGTGTTTTTTCCTTTCGCTTACAAATTGTTGAAAATTGAGGGGAACTAGCTGAGGTGGCAGGAGTATTTCTCAATCTTGTAATGTTGTGGGACAAGAATGATTTTCCATTTTATTTAGTAAAACCTCAAGTGAATTTATTCACCTTTTAAAATTCATTATGAACAGCAGTGTTTATCTGGCTCACATCAAAAGCTCTCTACACTCAAAGCAGTAAAGTAACTTTATTCAGTTGATGATATAAACTGTTCCAACAATGCCCCATCTCTTGATGAAAGATATGACAAGAAACACACAGACACTCATTCTCTAATAGGACCAACTTCTGAATTGTCTAACTGGTTGAAATAGCATAGAGGGGTGTTGACAAAACAGTATAAAGAAAGAGTTTGGAAACAAAACTAATGAAAAGAAACTGAAATGCAATTGAAAACTCAAGTAATTAATTTTAATTAATCTGGCTGCAGCCATGAAGCTCTATTGTTGACCTTTTGTTGTTTCCTTGTTTTAGGAAACTGTCTGTGGTGGTTGATGTGAGCTGTGATGTTACCAATCCAAACAATCCTTTACCATTCTGTGATTCTGTGACCTCACTACATCAGCCCTGTCGGACTCTGCAGTTAAGGTATTCAATATTGATTTGGCTGTCTCTCAGTCCAGGGAAGGTCAATTATAAATTTTGGGCAAGATTTTTTTTTTTTTACAAAGGGAAAGGTTTTGTGGAAAATTGGCCACAATTGCAGGTCGTGTCATCTTTAACTGCAATTACATAAACATGAAACCAGTGTCTTCCCAATACAAGGTGTCAATGTTGTATGGGGTTTGGAGATAAAGGTTTCCTGATGGCCCTAGTACTCCATGCTTCAGGAATTGGGAAAACTCCACTAGTAACAGATTATTTTGTGTGGGTATACTGTTCTTAAGATCTCATCTAGAAAATGATGGATTGAACTGACCCCATTTTTATAAAAGCCTAGCATACTTGGCTAAGTTTCCATGAATTGATTTTAAAAATAACAAAGCAAGCACACAAAGGTTGACATGCATGGGTCTTTGTCACTGACAGACTAAAACTAAATTAGCCTATTGTAACTGACTTATTGTTTCCTTTTGCAGTAACTCCACAAAGCCTTTGGATATTGTGGCCATAGATAACCTTCCTTCATTGCTTCCAAGAGAAAGCAGTATTCAGTTTGCTGATAGTATTATGCCCTATCTACTCAAGCTTCCAGAGGTATTTCCACGTTACTTCTTTTTCAGCCATCTACCAGTACTTGTTTGTTGTGTTATCATTCATACCATTCTGCCTTCAAATAAATTCAATTGGATGAAGTTGTTAAAAGTAAATTGTAATATTGTTTTCATTTTGTTGTTTTTGACCATGATATATCATATTTGACAAAAAAAACTTTTCAAGTTTAACTAAGTAGTCAAGCGTTAGTCTTGTCTTCTACCACACCAATTTCCACAGCCAAAATGCATTTAAATGAATTACAAGTTCTCAGAAAACATATTCAGTGGTTAAAATCCTATTCATACTAGGTTGCATGCAATTGATCCAAATGTGTCTCATGACTTGATATGGAAGAACTGAAACTGGGGATTAATCCAGTAATTTTGTCCAGTGTTTTGAATCTTAGCTTATATATTAGTCTTTACTTTATGTTGCTTTGATACTTAGAATTGTCATTATAATTGATTTTATTATTATTTTTATTTATTTTTATTTATTATTACTATTTTTCTAGGTGAACACTCATCCAGTGTGGGTTCGTGCTGGGAGAAAGTTTGATGAAAAAGCTGCAGAAGTCTTAAATCACCAAGTCAAATGTTAACTTGTCCTCAAATATTAGATTATTAGTAGTTTCTGACAAGTGACAAAGAAATCAATCACATGGTTGATACCAATGTTAAAGGTTACTTTAATTTTTTTTTTTTTTCAAAAATTCAGTTTTTATGATTGCCTCTATTCAATTTTCTCAAGATTAACCCTTCAACCCCTATGAGACCAGTATTGAATGTCTCAGTACAATATCACCCCTGCATGAGACAGTAAGGTATCAGGAACAGAGAAAATGATTGCTAACTAAAGAAGCTCTTGATTGTTAAACAAATTCACCTTGACAGCATTTTAGGAAATATGTAGAGAACAGTAGGGAGAATATGCATACTGATGTCAGGGTGTAGGGGGTTAAGCATATGTGAGTGGTAGAATGGGTGGAGGAATGGAAACAGTATTGACTTGAAGCTGAGCTTACACAATGCATGTGTTGATGAGATTAGCAACACAAGGAAAGCTAAATGCTGCATTCAAAAGTTATCTTGCTTCCACTCACAAACTGGAAAAAATAACATGTGGATATAAAATATACATATTTAATAGAAACAGATTCTCCTTTAGCAGACAGGTATTTTCAAACATTTCTTTCATGAAAAATGTGACCAATACTTGCATACAAAGAAAGTTTTAATATATTGTTGATCCTGAAACAAAATGAGTTGTACAGTGAATTTTTGATTCCAATTGATTCTTAATAAAATCTTAAATCCACATACAGACTTGACATGAAATTATTTTTTTCTTGAAAGAAATCACTGAAAGCATTTTGGAATGATCCAAAAATATCTAACTAAAACTTTGGTTTTATTGTAGTGAGCATTACTTTATCGTCACTAATGAAAAGAAACATAACATGGTTTTCAAATTTGTCTAATTAAATTCAATTGCACCTGTGTGCTTCATGTTCTCATTGTGCACATTGATTATGTATGAGCAATCCATAAAATAAAGCATAGAAGAGGGTACCTCTTAATAAACATTTAAACCTAACAAGCTGAAAATGCTACAAAACAATTGCATGTGTGTCAGCTGTGGGTTCATCAAGGTATGCAGCATTTAGAAACTGAGGAGAGCACTGAAGGTACAGTTTCAAATGTGCTTCAGCAAAGCAACTCCTATCCTTTCTCTCAGATCTCCCACATTTGTGTTTTTTTGTTGAACAAAGAACAACTTTCCCCATTTTTACTATCACTCCCACCAATGTCTTCTCTACCCAGTCAGCATAATAGTATCCCTTCCTCAACTTCCTTCACCCACCAGTTGGCAAGTGTGATACTAGAGAGTGGGTGTCCAATAGCATTTTAAACACTCCCATTAATAAGATTCAGTATTAATGCACAAATTAAAACTGCCACTAGAACTCGTAAAGCTGATTTATTAATAAAGCAAGTTTTGTACGTGACAAAACAGAGGGTAGCCTTAAAACAACAGAATGGTTTTCAGACGTACAAACAGCAAATTGATCTGCTGTAATAGATAGAATTCACACTACTGGTTGTGAAGCAGTAAACTTCAGATTCATCTACTAGCTAGCATTGATGAACGGCTCTAAACAGTGCTTAACATTTTGCACCACCACAAAACGACTGCTGTCTAGCTCTGGGTCCAGTATCTGAATTTTAGTAAGAAACTTAAAATTATCAGTTTTGGGAACAGAAGGTATTCACCCTCTTGTGCGACTTGGCCATCCCTCGTTTCTGCTGCAAACTCTATGCCACATATTTCCTGTCTCCAAAATTAAGGAAACCATTTTTCCTTCAAAGTTCCTTTTGGGCATCATGAGTGGTAACATACTCTGCTTGGCTATCTTATAAGTGATCTTGCAGCCATCAGCAACATCTTAAGGGAGCGCTGCATGGGCCCTGATGCTTCATTGATGGTTGTTTGGAGCTGCTGGCATAGTCCCTCTAACACACCAGGCATATGTTCTCTTGTAATGGCATCTCGTGCATCCAGGGCCATAAGAGCTTCTTCGATGTATCTGTAAATTTAGAAGGAAGAGATTTAGAGATAAACATGAAATCAAAAAACAGTGATAAATTTGAATGGAACAAAGTACACTTGAAATAGAAAAATTGAATTATCCTATTTTTCTGGTTACCAAAGTACCCTAGATTAACTATGAGTGACCTCATTCCTGTTTAAATCATGAGAACACCCTTTCAGCATCAATCATTGTCATGGTCAGAGAACACATCCACAAGTTACTTACCCAGTGCATGGCACTTATGGAGTACACAGACTATGTTCCATTATACCACTCCTGCATTTAGCCTAACTACACAGTATGTTGCTAGTACTTACTTGTGCTTAAGATCCGTATACATTGCAAGATCCACAGATAGTTGCTGTATTAGAGACAGCAAGACTGGTTGTGACAAAGGACAAGGGGACTGGGAAAAGACTTTCTCGGGATCCACATTTTCACAAACGTACATCACAATGTTTAGATCTCCTGCTGTCAGGGCCTGAGAGGTAATGTTGCAACATGCATGTAAGTATTATGAAACACTGAAATTCAAAAGAGGTACCGTAAATGCTATTATAAGGCCCTCAAGTGGGTGGGGCTGAAATCTAAACTGGAAACAAATACAATTTTTCAATACTCTCGCACAAGGACATTTGTGATAAAGGCCATAGAGAAGAATAGTACTGTGAATTTCCTGAATGAGTGGAAGAGATGGAAATTATTTGGCTCCAAGAGCCCAACATTTTTCCCTTGGACCTAAACTAACTCAGTAATAAGATTTTATCATGTTCCACTCCAGCTCCTTGACTTTCTTCCTTTTGTCGAGCATTCTGCATCTCCAGGGGGTGTATGAAGGGTACTGTGGCTTTCCAAGGCCCTGATCACACTGTCACTTACAGCCCTGATTTGGAATTTAAATCCCCTCATACACTGGGACATAAGGGTCATGTGATAACTTGCTTTGAATCATTGTTATTCTTATAATCCTAACCCTAACCCCAGGTCTCTTTCTTAGCATTTTTGTCTACATACAAGTAGAGGAGGAAAAAATGGTGTTTTTTAAGAGGATGAGAGCCTATCAGTGCATTTATATACAGTAATAATGAAATAGCTCTATCTTGAATATCACAGAACCTCTTGGAAGGCCTCTCCAACTTTTCCAGATTCCAACAGCCTGGAAACTGCAGCCTACAGAGAAAAGAGTTAATATGTCTCTTTACACAGTTCTGTTCATACTCTCTTCATGAGCTATTAATGTCACATACAAAAACAAGAGTGATTTCTGAACATTCTCCTCAACACTTCATCCCAAATTACCATAGACTAAGAAAAGTGTATATGGTATTAAGGTTATCCTAATGCAAACAGATTTCATCTTCCCAACTTTTCCCATAACTCAATCAAAACAGAGGCATATAACCTTGGTTAAATGTCAGAGTCAAAATCAATCAATAAATAAATGTTAGCACTTGAATGAGTATAAAAGAAACTTGCCTAGGATCATGTATTACAAAAGGTGTTATTTTACATTTTGGAGACCAACAGGAAAATGGGTAACTGTTATTGTTACCCTTGAAAATTCATATTTACAACCAACCTGAGTTTGTGCAGTACTAGGAGACTGTTGTGAGGTATTTTGTGCTGAAGATGTAATCATTTCACTCAATTGTTGACGTAGGCCTTCCAATCCTAAGCCCATTTCCTTTTGCACTGAGTCCTGGACTGAAGCCAGAACTTCAGACAACAGACGTGAAAATATCTCTTCACGCAAACTATGAAGAATCCAAAACAAGGACAGTTATATTACATTCATTGGATATGCTGAGGTGAAAATTTATTCTTCTTTGTTTCAAAATCATTAACAAACCATACCCAAAAAACAAAGTAGAATAATATCTACAACATAAAAAAAATCTTTATTTAAGGAAACTTAGGCTATCTAAAGTATTAAAAAATATCAGCTTTATCTTACACAACATTTTGCTGACAATTTTTCTTTCCTGAGTGACACTTGTTTACCCAGATTTTGTTTTCACTTTTTTCTATATCAACTTACAATTCTTCCAGTTTGTACTCTAAATCAGATTACAACCCACACACATACCAAAGAGTTAAAAGACCACCTGTTTAAAATTTACATTTCATCACAACCATAGTCCCATAAACATCACCAGTCAACAAACATGTTGAGATTTCCCAATTTTGCACCTAGCCTTTGACCAGCTGGATTTTAAAACATTGGGATTTATTGTGTCAGTTATGCTTCTTATTTGTTTTTATTGTATTGCTGTCCCTAATTTTGGTATATAACCTGTAAAACAAAACAGATATTTTGCTCCAGGTCTACCGTGTAGCAGGACAGAAAATGGTGGTGGTTCTCAGATACTAAAGTCAGCCTCTTGAGACCAAAAAACGATCATCTGGCACTTTTCACACACATGTTCCTGTTCTTTGTCACTACTCTTTACTTACCCTTCTATTGATGATGACAGTTGTTTCTGTATCATAACTTCAAAGTCAGCCATAAGGTTTGATGAAAGCCTCTCTGTTGTTGCTTGGAATGATTGCTTTTGTGATTCCAACTGTCTCATTACAGGTTGGAAAAAATCTTTCTCCTCTCTTTTACGGTTATCCAGAGCTGTTGTAACCTGTTGCAGGTCTTCAAAATAGAGTTTATGTCAAAATAAAGTGAAACCAATGAATCAAAGAGTGCACAAATTTGGCATTTAGCAACAGTGTGGTCTAATAAATGTATTTAGTACAATTGTCCATGAGGATTTGAGCTCTAAACTATAAAGACAGCCCAAAAATTGTGGTCAAAGTAAACAATGCCATCCATTAAATTTCAGTTCCAGAAGCCTACTGTTTATCCACACTTTTTCAGACAGGCCTAAGCAAACTGGTGGGGACAGTCTAATGAATAAAAAACCTCAATCTTTCACAAATTTCCTAAGGACACTCAGCACAAAATGGTCGAAATGCCACATTTTTAAACCTTACAGCCAATGGTATCCCATTCTTCTTTGCAATTTGAGAACAATGCTAGAAACATTCAGAAAAGCTGCAGTAGTTTTCAATATTGTTTGAGTAAGGGGAAAAAGGATGGAATGCTTTAATGAGAATAATTTATAAAAATAGTACACATTTCATGTTAGTATGCAACTACTAGCGTCCTATCTGGCTGGCTACACTACTCAATATCCCTTCTTTGGTAAAATAAATAATAATAGAATAAAAGAAAAAATGAGCCTGTCTTGTTGCTATGGTTTGGAAGATTAACACATTCTTAACAAATTACTTATCAGCAAACTATCATGCAATAGAGACTGAGAGCAAATTATCTAACAGTTAAATAGTGTTTGGAAAATTAATGAGGCTGTCCAATAACTTTTGACCAGGATTGTTGGTACATACTACAGTTTACAACATACATTGTTGAGTTCCTTTATGAAATGATTCATTTATCTGTTGGAACATGTTCTGGCATGCCCTCTCAAAGGATGGCAAAATGGTGCTCTGAAATGCCTCACGGTAAGTTACTTGAATGGGTCCCTGAAGTGCACTTGCTGCCGCTGTACCAATAGCATCAACAACACCCTGTTTGAGGATAAAAAAACCTGTTGTTATAGTAAAATTGTGTTTGTTAGGGACATGTAGAGCTTACTTCTCCAGAATTCTTACATCATTTGCAAAGATTCAATGCTCTTTACTACTTTACAGAATCAAGTTCATGCCTGCCTTTGAGAACTATACCTAGCTAGAATCATATCAAAAATTACAGCTACATGTATTTTACCACATCCCAGTCATTTGGTACCAACCAGACCAGCGTCAAAAACAAATAAACCAAACCTTACCTTACTTTTCACAATTTTTGCAACACTATCCTTCAATACAGTATCTGCTGCTGTTAGTTTCTAAAGAAAGGGAAAGAAAGCCTGTCAGAAGAATCTGTATAACAAATCTTCTTCAACTGACATGTGCCATATATTGAAAACTTTAAGCATGTAAAGAGAAAGTAT